GTTATAGAACACAGTTAGTTATAGAACACGGTTAGTTATAGAAAGTTTAGTTATAGAACAGTAGTTATAGAACACAGTTAGTTATAGAACACAGTTAGTTTAGAACACGGTTAGTTATAGAACAGTTAGTTATAGAACAGTTTAGTTATAGAACACAGTTAGTTATAGACCAGTTAGTTATAGAAACAGTTAGTTATAGAACAGTTAGTTATAGAACAGTTAGTTATAGAAACAGTTTAGTTATAGAACAGTTAGTATAGAACAGTTAGTTTAGAACACAGTTAGTTTAGAACACAGTTAGTTATAGAACACGGTTAGTTATAGAACAGTTAGTTATAGAACAGTTAGTTATAGAAACACAGTTAGTTATAGAACACGGTTAGTTATAGAACAGTTAGTTATAGAACAGTTAGTTATAGAACACAGTTAGTTATTGAACACAGTTAGTTATAGAACACGGTTAGTTATAGAACACGGTTAGTTATAGAACACAGTTAGTTATAGAACAGTTTAGTTATGAACACAGTTATTATAGAACACGGTTAGTTATAGAACAGTTAGTTATAGAACAGTTAGTTATAGAACACGGTTTAGTTATAGAACAGTTAGTTATAGAACAGTTAGTTTATAGAACAGTTAGCTGTATAGAACACAGTTAGTTTATAGAACACGGTTAGTTATAGAACAGTTAGTTTATAGAACGTTATTATAGAACACAGTTTTATTATAGAAACAGTTAGTTATAGAACAGTTAGTTATAGAACAGTTAGTATAGAACACAGTTAGTTATAGAACACCGGTTAGTTTATAGAACAGTTAGTTATAGAACAGTTAGTTATAGAACAGTTAGTTTATAGAACAGTTAGTTATAGAACAGTTAGTTTATAGAACACAGTTAGTTATAGAACACAGTTAGTTATAGAACAGTTAGTTATAGAACAGTTAGTTATAGAACACGGTTAGTTATAGAACACAGTTAGTTATAGAACACAGTTAGTTATAGAACACGGTTAGTTATAGAACACAGTTAGTTATAGAACACAGTTAGTTATAGAACACAGTTAGTTATAGAACAGTTAGTTATAGAACAGTTAGTTATAGAACAGTTAGTTATAGAACACAGTTAGTTATAGAACACAGTTAGTTATAGAACACAGTTAGTTATAGAACAGTTAGTTATTGAACACAGTTAGTTATAGAACACGGTTAGTTATAGAACAGTTAGTTATAGAACAGTTAGTTATAGAACAGTTAGTTATAGAACACGGTTAGTTATAGAACAGTTAGTTATAGAACAGTTAGTTATAGAACACGGTTAGTTATAGAACAGTTAGTTATAGAACAGTTAGTTATAGAACAGTTAGTTATAGAACAGTTAGTTATAGAACACAGTTAGTTATTGAACACAGTTAGTTATAGAACACGGTTAGTTATAGAACACGGTTAGTTATAGAACACAGTTAGTTATAGAACACAGTTAGTTATAGAACACAGTTAGTTATAGAACACGGTTAGTTATAGAACAGTTAGTTATAGAACAGTTAGTTATAGAACACGGTTAGTTATAGAACAGTTAGTTATAGAACAGTTAGTTATAGAACAGTTAGTTATAGAACACAGTTAGTTATAGAACACGGTTAGTTATAGAACAGTTAGTATAGAACAGTTAGTTATAGAACAGTTAGTTATAGATAGAACCATTTAGTTATAGAACAGTTAGTTATAGAACAGTTAGTTATAGAACACGGTTAGTTTATAGAACACGGTTAGTTATAAACAGGTTAGTTATAGAACAGTTAGTTATAGAACAGTTAGTTATAGAACACAGTTAGTTATAGAACACAGTTAGTTATAGAACACAGTTAGTTATAGAACAGTTAGTTATAGAACAGTTAGTTATAGAACAGTTAGTTATAGAACACGGTTAGTTATAGAACAGTTAGTTATAGAACACAGTTAGTTATAGAACAGTTAGTTATAGAACACAGTTAGTTATAGAACAGTTAGTTATAGAACAGTTAGTTATAGAACAGTTAGTTATAGAACACAGTTAGTTATAGAACAGTTAGTTATAGAACAGTTAGTTATAGAACACAGTTAGTTTATAGAACACAGTTAGTTATAGAACACAGTTAGTTATAGAACAGTTAGTTATAGAACACGGTTAGTTATTGAACACGGTTAGTTATAGAACACAGTTAGTTATAGAACAGTTAGTTATAGAACAGTTAGTTATAGAACACGGTAGTTTAGAACAGTTGTTATAGAACGTTAGTTATAGAACACGTTAGTTATAGAACACGGTTTAGTTATAGAACAGTTAGTTATAGAACAGTTAGTTATAGAACACGGTTAGTTTATAGAACACGGTTAGTTATAGAACAGTTTATGTATAGAACGTTAGTTATGAACATTAGTTATAGAACAGTTTAGTATAGAACAGGTTTAGTTATAGAACAGTTAGTTATAGAACAGTGTTTATAGAACAGTTAGTTATAGAACAGTTAGTTATAGAACAGTTAGTTATAAGGACAGAAACAGCTCATGGTTCAGACATGGTGGTCTAATAACTGCTCCCAGTGTACTTCCTCTTCTCCTCTCTTCTCAACTCCACCTCACCGTCCTCATCCTGTTTTCTCTCTTTCCTTTAGCTCTTCTCATCTTCCACCTCTCCCTCTCCCTCCCTTCTCCGCGTGCCAGCCATCTCCTCCTTCTCTCACCTCTCCACGCTCTTCCGGGGCTCCCTCTCCACCTTCCTCGCTTCTCCCCCACCTCTCCCCAGCCTCCCCTCTTCCCTGCGCGACTCCCTCTCAGTCCTCTACCTCTCCTCTCTTCTCCTCTCCTCTCCTCCTCCTCCTACTCTCCCTCTTCACTCCTCCACCTCTCTCCTCTTTCTCCTCCTCCCACCGCTCCTCTCTGTCCTCTTCACTCTCCACCTCTCTCTCCCTCTCACCCTCTCTCTCTCCAGCTCGCGCCTCCTCTCCTCTCTCCACCCCTCCTCTCCCTCCACTCTCTTCTCTCTTCTCATCTCCCCCACCTCTCCTCTCTTCTCCTCCTCTCCACCTCTCCTCCTCTTCTCATCTCCACCTCTCCTCTCTTCTCTCCTCCACTGCACCTCTCCTCTCTTCTCCTCTCCACTCGCTGCTATTTCCAGCCTGGAAGGTGGGCAGGTGTGAGTGTGTGTGGGCTGGAGTGTTTGGGTGGAGACCACGTCAGAGGAAGAATAGTTTAGTCCAGTGTTCTGGGTCCTCTCCACCATCAGTACATTTAACCCACAGGGTCTCAGTCAGAACGGCCACTAAACTACAGTACACTACAATAATACACGTGATCATGCATAACAATGTCCAGCATATATAACCGCATTTCAAAACACCCAAGGACACTGTATAGTACAGTGCGTCACTTCTCAGTGAGAGCACAGGACACACACATGCACGCACACGCATGAACGCACACGCACACACACAGACACACACATACACACACATACACACTGGACTTTACTCTCAGTGTGTTTACTGTTAGCTAGATATAAAGGCAGGTCCTTCTACACCTCTCATTCTATTATTCATGCTGTCCTCCCACTGAAGGTTGTTTTAACTGTGTGTGTGTGTGTGTGTGTGTGTGTGTGTGTGTGTGTGTGTGTGTGTGTGTGTGTGTGTGTGTGTGTGTGTGTGTGCTATTACGCGTGTGTTCTCCCCTCAGGAAGTTAGTTTTAGCCTTAACTGTCTCTACTGTAAGTGAACAAATGTCAATGAGGAGAAGCCAAGGCCACACACAAACTAACGCACACACACACTGGTGGCTTTCTCTCTGTGTGAAGATATATGTTATTGTGTTGTGTCCTCTATAATTACATATAGTGACTACTGACTGGCTTTATTGGCATGGGAAACTTATGTTAACATTGCCAAAGCAACTGAAGTAGATAATAAACAAAAGTGAAATAGACAATCAAAAATGAACAGTAAACATTACACTCAGAAGTTCCAAAAGAATAAAGACATTTGCGATGTCATATTATGGAGTGTTGTGACGATGTGCAAATAGTTCAAGTACAGAAGGGGAAATAAATAAACTATTGACTCTCTCTCTCTCTCTCTCTCTCTGTCTCTGTCTCTGTCTCTCCTCTCTCTCACTCTGTCTGTCTGTATCTCTCTCTGTCTCTCTCTCTCATATCTGTCTCTTCTTCTCTCTATGTCTATATCTATATCTTATGTCTTTCTTATCTGTTCTCTTGTCTCTCTATGTTATCTCTGTATTATCTCTCTTTATATCTCTTCTCTCTCATCTCATTATTATGTATTATCTCTATCTATCTTATGTCTATCTATCTTGATATCTATATCTAGTATATATCTGTTTGCGATATATTCTAGCTCTATTTCTGCTCTCTCTCATCTCTCTTAGTATCTTCGATTTCTTCTATTTGTTCCTCTTCTGTACTATCTGCTATTCTCTCTATCTCTCTCTCTCTCATCTCTGTCTCCCTAGCTTCTCTATGTCTCTTCTGTCTCTCTCTCTTCTCTTCTCTCTCTCTCTCTCTATGTATCTCTCTGTCTCTCTCGCTCTTCTCTCGTTGGTCCCTCTCTCTCTCTCTCTCTCTGTCTCTCTCTCTATCTCTCTACTCTCTCTCTCTCTCTATCTCTCTCTCTTTCCTCTCTCTCTTGTGTCTGTCTCTCTCGCTCTCTCTCTCGTTGTCTCCCTCTCGCTCTCTCTCTGTCTCCCTCTCTCTCTCTCTCTCTCTCTCTCTCTCTCTCCCTATCTCTCTCTCTCTCTGTCTGTCTGTCTCTCTCGCTCTCTCTCTCGTTGTCTCCCTCTCTCTCTCTCTCTCTCTCTCTCTCCTCTCTCTCTCTCTGTCTCTCTATCCCTCTCTCTCTCTCTCTCTCTAGTGCACTACTTTAAAGGGAATATGGTACTGTATTAGATGAGACAGCCCTGTCTGGTGTGATAATGGATCTGTGTCTTTATCCCCCTCTCTCACCTCTCCCCTCTAGCTCACCACCCTGCGGGGGTCTATCCTGGAGGATGCAGTACCCTCCAGCTCTAAGCATGGCCTGGCGCGGGGCCTGCCCCTCAAAGAGGTGCTAGATTACCTGGTTCCAGAGCTCAACGCCCACTGTCTCAGACTGGCACTCAACACACCTAAAGTCACAGAGCAGCTGATGAAACTGGATGAACAGGGGGTAAGGACGACACAAGTAAGGTTGTAAAATGATAGTAACTTCCCTGAAATTCCCAGGTTTTCCAGAAATCCTGTTTGGAGGATTCTGGATTTACTGCCAGTTCCGTCCTGATTCAGGGAGGGAGTCTTCCAACTGGGATCTCTGAGAAAATAAACTGACATTTTGAGAAAGTTACCGGAATTTTGCAACCCATAAAACAACACTCAGAAAATAAAAGTCCTTGCAGAGAACTTCTAATACCACCAATGTTTTGGCTAGGAAGTCTTCATAATAATAATAATAATAATATGCCGTTTAGCAGACGCTTTTATCCAAAGCGACTTAGTCATGCGTGCATACATTTTTTTGTGTATGGGTGGTCCCGGGGATCGAACCCACTACCTTTGGCGTTACAAGCGCCGTGCTCTACCAGCTGAGCTACAGAGGACCGACCATGATGTGTATATATATATATATATATATATATATATATACACTACCAGTCAAAAGTTTGGACAGACCTACTCATTCAAGGGTTTTTCTTTATTTGTACTATTTTTTTACATTGTAGAATAATAGTTAAGACATCAAAACTATGAAATAACACATATGGAATCATGTAGTAACCAAAAAAGTGTTAAACAAATCAAAATATATTTTATATTTGAGATTCTTCAAATAGCCACCCTTTGCCTTGATGACAGCTTAGCACATTCAACCAGCTTCATGAGGTAATCACCTTCTTAATGCTTTTGAGCCAATCAGTTGTGTTGTGACAAGGAAGATAGCCCTATTTGGTAAAAGACCAAGTCCGTGTTATGGCAAGAACCGCTCCAATAAGCAAAGTGAAACGACAGTCCATCATTACTTTAAGACCTGAAGGTCAGTCAATACGGAACATTTCAAGAACTTTGAAAGTTTCTTCAAGTGCAGCAGCAAGAACCATGAAGCGCTATGATGAAACTGGCTCTCATGAGGACCGCCACAGGAATGGAAGACCCAGAGTTACCTCTGCTGCAGAGGATAAGTTCATTAGAGTTACCAGCCTCAGAAATTGCAGCCCAAATAAATGCTTCACAGAGTTCAAGTGACAGACACATCTCAACATCAACTGTTCAGAGGGGACTGTGTGAGTCAGGCCTTCATGGTCGATTTGCTGCAAAGAAACCACTACTAAAGGACACCAATAAGAAGAAGAGACTTGCTTGGGCCAAGAAACACGAGCAATGGACATTAGACCGGTGGAAATGTGTCCTTTGGTCTGGAGTCCAAATTGGAGATTTTTGGTTCCAACCGCCGTGTCTTTGTGAGACGCGGTGTGGGTGAACGGATGATCTCCACATGTGTAGTTCCCACCGTAAAGCATGGAGGAGGAGGTGTTATGGTGTGGGGGTGCTATGCTGGTGACACTGTCTGTGATTGATTTAGAACTTAAGGCACACTTAACCAGCATGGCTACCACAGCATTCTGCAGTGATACGCCATCCCATCTGGTTTGCGCTTAGTGGGACTATCATTTGTTTTTCAACAGGACAATGACCCAACACACCTCCAGGCTGTGTAAGGGCTATTTTACCAAGAAGGAGAGTGATGGAATGCTGCATCAGATGACCTGGCCTCCACAATCCCCCGACCTCAACCCAATTGAGATGGTTTGGGATGAGTCGGACCGCAGAGTGAAGCAAAAGCAGCCAACAAGTGCTCAGCATATGTGGGAACTCCTTCAAGACCGTTGGAAAAGCATTCCAGGTGAAGCTGGTTGAGAGAATGACAAGAGTGTGCAAAGCTGTAATAAAGGAAAAGGGGGAGCTATTTGTAGAATCTCAAAAATAAAATATATTTGGATTTGTTTAACACTTTTTTGGCTACAACATGATGTGTGTGTTATTTCATAGTTTTGATGTCTTCACTATTGTTCTACAGTGTAGTTAATAGTAAAAAAATAAAGAAAAACCCTTGAATGAGTAGGTGTGTCCAAACCTTTGACTGGTACTGTACATACACCTCTTTCTCTCCCACTCTAGTTGAGAAAGAGGTGGGCGTGATGGTACTGGTACCGTCGCGGGACAGAGCAGTGAAGAGGATATGTATAAGTAACTAACAGGCTCACACTCTCACGTCAGAGAGGAGACGCGAGAGAGAGCAGAAGCAGAGCGAGAGAGAGAGAGAGTAGAAGCTCTCTATCGACGCCTCCTTATCTAAGATAGTCTACTATCTATACTATCCTATATGAGAGAGCAGATAATATCGCTTCCCACTCTCCTCCTTCTCTCCTCTGACTCTGTAGTTGAGTTTCCAGTTGAAGGTGGGGGTGATATGTGCGTCGGGACAGAGCAGTGAAGAGATATGTATAATAATGATTTCAGCCATGGCTGCTTGGAGGAGTCTTAAGCTGCGGGAGAGAGGGTCGGCTGACGGGGATTCCCAAGTACCGAGCCCAGCTGGCCACAGAGTACGTGACTACACAAACACACACACACACACCAAGTACCGAGCCCAGCTGGACACCAAGAGTACGTTACTACACACACACACACACACACACCAAGTACCGAGCCCAGCTGGACACCAAGAGTACGTTACTACACACACACAGTATTATCTCCCTCTATCTCTCTCTCATGCCCAGCTGGACACCAAGAGTATGCTACTACACTACATAAACTCACACACACACCACACACCGAGCCCAGCTGGACACCAAGAGTATGCTACTACACTACACACACACACACACCAAGTACCGAGCCCAGCTGGACACCAAGAGTACGTTACTACACTACACACACACACCAAGTACCGAGCCCAGCTGGACACCAAGAGTACGCTACTACACTACACACAGTATTATCTCCCTCTATCTCTCTCTCATGCCCAGCTGGACACCAAGAGTACGTTACTACACACACACACACAGTATTATCTCCCTCTATCTCTCTCTCATGCCCAGCTGGACACCAAGAGTATGTTACTACACTACATAAACTCTCTCACACACACACACACACACACACACACACACACACACACACACACACACACACACACACACACACACACACACACAGTATTATCTCCCTCTATCTCTCTCTCATGCCCAGCTTGACACCAAGAGTATTACTACATTACTTTGTTGTCAAAAGACTCATCTTAGAATTCCCTCTGTTCTCTCTCATTAATTCCCTCTTCCTCACTGTTTTTCTGTGTATGAAGTGTCTGGTGTGGTGCTATGTTTAGAGTTGGCCGGCCGTGCGTGCCCCAGTGCTCTTCTAAGGCCATGGCTGGGTAGAGGAAACATGCTCTGATCACTATCATACTATACACAGAATAACCACATGAACTCGTTGTAAACATTTCCCCTTTCAACTTCCTTCTCTTCCTCTCGCTCTCTCCTCCCCACCTGACCCCAACCCACCAGGCCCATATGCGGTTGAGCTAGGCTAGTGCTTTTGAAAAACAAAGATGGCGGTTGGTTCTTTGATCACCTTGACATTCAATAAACACTAAAGAGGAAATGCCTACGGTAAGAGGGTAACCAAGCTATAGAGCTTACCAGTTTGTAGTCCTAAAAAACGGAAATGTTCAGCCATTCCTATGGGGGAAAGAAGGGCCTTATTCCAAAACCCTCCAAAAAAACATTCATTTCCCCTTAGGCTTTGGCCAACGAGCCATGGCAGAGTTAGCCTCTGTTAGTGCTTACAAAAAGACAACTTTAATATTGTGCTCTATTAGCTATTCTAAGTGAATTAATATGCTGTACCAGTCCCTAGACTGTCCCTATTTAGTAAATGTGTGTCCCAAATGTTTCCAAGTTTCAATTCCCTATATAGTGCACAACTTTTGAACAGAGGCGTATGGGTCTGTAGAGATATTGGAAGCTGGAACAATAGGACATCTGATCAACTGGCTGACAGAAACAGAGATGGAGAGAGAGCAGGACACGATATGAAGGGGACAGTATAGAGGACTCTCAAGAGAACACTTTCTACCCAGAGCAGAGTGAATAGGTTCCATGCATAGCCATAGTTCATTGGCTTCATTGGACACTGTGTTAACAAACCTCCAAACGAGCTTCAATGCCATACAACACTCCTTCAGTAGCCTCCAACTGCTCTTAAACACTAGTAAAACTAAATGCATGCTTTTCAATCGAACGCTGCTGGCACCCGCCCGCCCGACTAGAATCACCACTCTTGACGGGTCTGACCTAGAGTATGTGGACAACTACAAATACCTAGGTGTCTGGTTAGACTGTAAACTCTCCTTCCAGACTCGCATAAAGAATCTCCAATCCAAAGTTAAATCTAGAATCGGCTTCCTATTTCGCAACAAAGCCTCCTTCACTCATGCTGCCAAACATGCCCTCGTAAAACTGACTATCCTACCGATCCTTGACTTCGGCGATGTCATTTACAAAATAGCCTCCAACACTCTACTCAGCAAATTGGATGTAGTCTATCACAGTGCCATCCGTTTTGTCTCCAAAGCCCCATACGCTACCCACCACTGTGACCTGTACGCTCTTGTTGGCTGGTCCTCACTACATGTTCGTCGTCAAACCCACTGGCTCCAGGCCATCTATAAATCACTGCTAGGCAAATCCCCGCCTTATCTTAGCTCATTGGTCACCATAGCAGCACCCACCCGTAGTCTGCGCTCCAGCAGGTATATCTCACTGGTCATTCCCAAAGCCAACACCTCCTTTGGCCGCCATTCCTTCCAGTTCTCTGCTGCCAATGACTGGAACGAATTGCAAAAATCTCTGAAGCTGGAGACTCTTATCTCCCTCACTAACTTTAAGCATCAGTTGTCAGAGCACCTTACCGATCACTGCACCTGTACACAGCCCATCTGAAATTAGCCCACCCAACTACCTCATCCCTATATTGTTATTTATTTTGCTCTTTTGCACCCCAGTATCTCTATTTGCACATAATCTCTTGCACATCTAGCATTCCAGTGTTAATACTATTGTAATTATTTTGCACTATAGCCTATTTATTGCCTTACCTCCATAACTTGCTACATTTGCACACACTGTATATATATTTTCTGTTGTATTTTTGACTTTATGTTTTTTACCCCATATGTAACTCTGTGTTGTTTTTATCGCACTGCTTTGCTTTATCTTGGCCAGGTCGCAGTTGTAAATGAGAACTTGTTCTCAACTGGCTTACCTGGTTAAATAAAGGTTAAATAAAATAAATAATAATAATAGGCAGGAAGACTCTCATAGACACGCTTTCTAACCAGATTCTGCTGTTGTATTCTCTCCCTCTTATAGCTGACACCACTGGGACTCACTTCCTGTACACCACTTCCTGTACACTACCTATAAGGACTATGAGCTTTCCTGTCTGTCTGTCTGTCTGTCTGTCTGTCTGTCTGTCTGTCTGTGTCCGTCCGTCCGTCTCTCCGCTAGCTGACACAACTGGGACTCACTTCCTGTACACCACTCCCTGTACACTACCTATAAGGCTTATGAACCTGTCTGTCTCTCCTCTAGCTGACTCCATAGGGTCCCACTCCCTGTACCCCACCTATAAGAACTATGAACCTGTCTGTCTAACCCTAGTTACTGTCTGTCTCTCCTCCAGCTGACTCCACAGGGACCCACTCCCTGTACACCACCTATAAGGACTATGAGGTGATGTTTCATGTTTCCACCATGCTGCCGTACACACCCAACAACAAACAACAGGTATGTGTTAGTACGGTTAAAACACGGAATCAAGTAAATAACATGGTAGTAGTAGTAACCAGTTATAGTAACTCGCTGTGAAGACATCATTTTGCCCAGATAGCCCTTCATTTCATTGTAAGCGTAATATCTAGCATTTTTCCATGGCTTTGTTCACTGACCAGTTTTCTCTGTCGTTCCGATGCAATGAATGATAAAAAATGTCAGGCGCTACAATCATTGATAGATTGAAAAGGCATATGTTTATCTTGTTGCCCATATGTTTATCTTGTTGGCCATATGTTTATCTTGTTGTCCATATGTTTATCTTGTTGTCCATATGTTTATCTTGTTGTCCATATGTTTATCTTGTTGTCCATATGTTTATCTTGTTGGCCATATGTTTATCTTGTTGGCCATATGTTTATCTTGTTGGCCATATGTTTATCTTGTTGGCCATATGTTTATCTTGTTGGCCATATGTTTATCTTGTTGGCTATATGTTTATCTTGTTGGCCATATGTTTATCTTGTTGGCCATATGTTTATCTTGTTGGCCATATGTTTATCTTGTTGGCCATATGTTTATCTTGTTGGCCATATGTTTATCTTGTTGTCCATATGTTTATCTTTGCTGTTTTCCCCGTGTGTCTGTCTCCTCCCAGCTCCTGAGGAAGCGGCACATAGGTAATGACATAGTGACCATCGTATTCCAGGAGCCCGGGGCTCAACCCTTCAGCCCCAAGAACATACGCTCTCACTTCCAACACGTGTTCGTAGTGGTGAGGGCACACCAACCCTGCTCTGACCACACCAGCTATAGGTGAGTGTGACATCTAACGCACACAGACACAGACATTTTACATTTTAGTCATTTAGCAGACGCTCTTATCCAGAGCGACTTACAGGAGCAATTAGGGTTAAGTGCCTTGCTCAAGGGCACATCGACAGATTTTTCACCTAGTCGGCTCAGGGATTAGAACCAGCGACCTTTCGGTTACTGGCACAACGCTCTTAACCGCTAAGCTACCTGTTCGACGAACACCCGCTGCAGTACAGTGTAATGTGCACAACAACTGTCTCTGTGATAGATTGGTAGGGCAGCTTGAACTATCTAAACTTCTTAGTGTTGAAGCACCCTCTCCTCTACTCCGCCTCCTCTTCCCACAACTCGGCGTCCCATTCCAGCACCTAGAACAGATGGCATTCAGGCCAGTTTCTGTGAACGAGATCTGCTCTATTGCTTCAACACTCTATAGGTGATACGTTGCATCGCTGGTTATGTTGAAATTGCTGAGTGTTGAAATAAAACGTCTGGTGCCGTTTCCTCCTCCAAGAGTGTGTCCCTAACTAACTCCATACCTGTCTATCGCTGCAGATGAATCCAGTATGTAGAGTTGAAGTACGAAGTTTACATACACCTTAGCCAAATACATTTAAAGTCGGTTTTTCACAATTCCTGACATTTAACCCTAGTAACAATGCCCTGTCTTAGGTCAGTTAGGATCACCACTTTATTTTAAGAATGTGAAATGTCAGAAATAATAGTAGAGAGAATTATTTATTTCAGCTTTTATTTCTTTCATCACATTCCCAGTGGGTCAGAAGTTTACATACGCTCAATTAGTATTTGGTAGCATTGCCTTTAAATTGTTAAACTTGGGTCAAACGTTTCGGGTAGCCTTCCACAAGCTTCCCACAATAAGTTGGGTGAATTTTGGCCCATTCCTCCTGACAGAGCTGGTGTAACTGAGTCAGGTTTGTAGGCCTCCTTGCTCGCACACGCTTTTTCAATTCTGCCCACACATTTTCTATAGGATTGAGGTCAGGGCTTTGTAATGGCCACTCCAATACCTTGACTTTGTTGTCCTTAAGCCATTTTGCCACAACTTTGGAAGTATGCTTGGGGTCATTGTCCATTTGGAAGACCCATTTGAGACGAAGCTTTAACTTCCTGACTAATGTCTTGATATGTTGCTTCAATATATCCACATAATTTTCCTTCCTCATGATGCCATGTATTTTGTGAAGTGCACCAGTCCCTCCTGCAGCAAAGCACCCCCACAGCATGATGCTGCCACCCCCGTGCTTCATGGTTGGGATGGTGTTCTTCGGCTTGCAAGCGACCCCCTTTTTCCTCCAAACATAACGATGGTCATTATGGCCAAACAGTTATATTTTTGTTTCATCAGACCAGAGGACATTTCTCCAAAAAGTAAGATCTTTGTCCCCATGTGCAGTTGCAAACTGTAGTCTGGCTTTTTTATGGTGGTTTTGGAGCAGTGGCTACTTCCTTGCTGAGCGGCCTTTCAGGTTATGTCGTTATAGGACTCGTTTTACTGTGGAGATAGATACTTTTGTACCTGTTTCCTCCAGCATCTTCACAATGTCCTTTGCTGTTATTCTGGGATTGATTTGCACTTTTCGCAACAAAGTACGCTCATCTCTAGGAGACAGAACGCGTGTCCTCCCTGAGCGGTATGACGGCTGCGTGGTCCCATGGTGTTTATACTTGCATACTATTGTTTGTACAGATGAATGCGGTACCATCAGGCGTTTGGAAATTGCTCCCAAGGATGAACCAGACTTGTGGAGGTCTACAATTATTTTCTGAAGTCTTGGCTAATTTCTTTTGATTTTCCCATGATGTCAAGCAAAGAGGCACTGAGTTTGAAGGTAGGCCTTGAAATACATCCACAGGTACACCTCCAATTGACTCAAATGATGTCAATTAGCCTATCAGAAGCTTCTAAAGCCATGACATCATTTTCTGGAATTTTCCAAGCTGTTTAAAGGCACAGTCAACTTAGTGTATGTAAACTTCTGACGCACTGGAGTTGTGATACAGTGAATTATAAGTGAAATAATATGTCTGTAAACAATTGTTGGAAAAATTACTTGTGTCATGCACAAAGTAGATGTCCTAACCGAACTTGCCAAAACAATAGTTTGTTAACAAGAAATGTGTGGAGTGGTTGAAAAACGAGTTGTAATGACTCCAACCTAAGTGTATGTAAACATCCGACTTCAACTGTGTATGATGACCTCCTTTAAGGCCTTGTTAACTAACACACACACTGCAGTCGGCGAGAGACGTTAATGAAAGGAGAAATAATTACTTGTTTTCTTCCTGCTTCTCCTCTGGGAGTGAGACTTCATGAGCTGATGAGAACAGTATCATCTGTCCATTTTCACTTTCTCTCTATTTTCTTTTTTTCCCTCTCTCTCTCCCTCTCTGTCTATAATTATCTCTCTCCCTCTCCCTACTCTCATTTCCCCTCTCCCTCCTCTCCCCCCCCATCTCTTTCTCTCTCTCTCCCACTCTTCCTCTTTCTCTCCTTTCTGTCTCCTCTCTTCTCCTCCATCTCTCTCTCCTCTCTCTATCCTTCTCCATCTCTCTCTCCGGTCTCCCTCTCTCTCTCCTCTCTCTCTCGCTCTCCTGTCTCCCTCTCTCTCTCTCTTGTCTCCCTCTCTCCTGTCTCTCTCTTCCTCTCTCCTGTCTCCCTCGCTCTCTCCTGTCTCCCTCGCTCTCTCCTGTCTCCCTCCTCTCTCCTGTCTCCCTCTCTCTCTCCTGTCTCCCTCTCTCTCTCTCTCTCTCTTCTCCCCATCTCTCTCCTGTCTCCCCTGCTCTATCCTGTCTCCCCCCTCCGCCCTCTCTCTCCTGTCTCCCCCACTCTCTCTCCTGTCTCCCCCACTCTCTCTCCTGTCTCCCCCACTCTCTCTCCTGTCTCCCCCACTCTCTCTCCTGTCTCCCCTACTCTCTCTCCTGTCTCCCCCACCTCTCTCTGTTCCTCCCCCTCTCTCTCCTCGTCTCCTCTCTCTCCTCACTCTCTCTCCTGTCTCCCCACCACTCTCTCTCCGTATCCCCACTCTATCTAATGTCTCCCCCACTCCTCTCCTGTCTCCCCTGCGCTCTCTCCGTCTCCCCCGCTCGCTCTCATGTCTCTCTCTCTCTCTTCCTGTTATCCCCTCTCTCCTCTCCTATCCTGTCTCCCTCGCTCTCTGTCTTGTTAATAGCTGTTTTAATAGCTGTTAGGGTTTATTGTGTGAGCTCTGGTTCTCTGTGGGGTTCCTGCCTGCTGCACACAGAGCTGTGGAGTGGCATAGGGAAGATACAATGGCTTGACAGACACACACGCACAAATACACACAACGCAAGCACACACACCCTGCTCTCCAACCAGATGTAGGACTGTACCAGCCTGGTCCTTTGTTTCAGGTTTGGAGGGGGAGCTGGTGAGGGCTTTGTCTTCCCCCTCTACCTCCCCCTCACCCCGGCACACAATGGGCACCTCCTGCCCCTCCTCTCTACTCCACCAAAGCCACTCAAGTAACTAAATTCCTGCCCATGGTTTTTGTGGCTACGGAGGGTTTAGTCTACGAGCGGTTGGTTCTACAAGGGTATAATGTTAGGAGGGTTTAGTGTACGGAGGGTTTAGTGCTATGGAGGGTTTAGTGCTACGAGGGTTTAGTGCTACGGAGGTTTAGGCTACGGAGGGTTTAGTGCTACGGAGGGTTTAGGTAGGAGGGTTAGTGTAGGAGGGTTGTAGTGCTACGAGGGTTTAGTGCTACGGAGGGTTTAGTGCTACGGAGGGTTTAGTGCTACGGAGGGTTTAGTGCTATGGAGGGTTTAGTGTTATGGAGGGTTTAGTGCTACGGAGGGTTTAGTGCTATGGAGGGTTTAGTGCTACGGAGGGTTTAGTGTTACGGAGGATTTAGTGCATGGGTTATGGAGGGTTTAGTGTTACGGAAGGTTTAGTGTTACGGAGGGTTTAGTACTACGGAGGGTTTAGTGTCACGGAGGGTTTAGTGCTACGGAGGGCTTAGTGCTACGGAGGGTAGTTAGTGTTACGAGGGGTTTGGTGTTACGGAGGGTTTAGTGCTACGGAGGGTTTAGTTGCTCCGGAGGGTTTAGGTTGCTACTGGAGGGTTTAGTGCTTACGGAGGGTGTAGTGTTTTCGGAGGGTGTAGTGTTACGGGTAGGGGTTTTCAGTGTTACGGGGGTTTAGTGTTTACGGAGGGTTTATTGCTATCGGAGGGTTTAGTGTTACGGGAGGGTTTAGTGCTACGGATGGTTTTAGTTGCTAACTGGGAGGGGTTTAGTTGCTACGGAGGGTTTAGTGCTACGGAGGGTTTAGTGCTACGGGAGGTTGTTAGTGCTACGGAGGGTGGTGGTGTTCCTCAATTTAACATGATAGGCTATTCATCTCTACATTCTGGGCTTATGGGTGTGTCCTGATCTATTATGGGTGTGTCCTGACCTATTAAGGGTGTGCCTTGACATATTATGGGTGTGTCATGACATATTGTGGGTGTGCCCTGACCTATTATGGGTGTGCCCTGACCTATTATGGGTGTGTCATGATATATTATGGGAGTACCCTGCATCTGTGGGTAATGCCTCTGTAATTTAAATGTATGGTACATATAACTCTGTTTGTTGTGGGTTATGTGAGATGGATTTAGTTTTCATTGGTGGATTAAGCTTCAGTTGGTGAATCTTTTGTAGATGTGATATTGTCATAACTGAAGCTTGTTATGAAGAAAAACAGGGGCTTATTTTCTGTGGCACACCGTTAGATAATGTTCAGATAACCCTACATTGGTATTGTGTTGAACAGACACAGAGATATGATGTTCAATGCAATATGTGTTTTTTGATACAGAAAACAGGGTGTTATTCTGTGAGGCGCATGACAACATTAGATAATGTTCTTCATCTGGAGAGGTTGGAGTGAGAACAAGGGAGGGAGGGGGGGGGGGGGAGGAGGAATAGAACCTTACAAATAATCTTGGCCTCATCATAGATCTCCTCTCCTCCTCCTTGTATCCTGTCCCCTCCTCTCCTCCTCCTTGTATCCACCCTTTCCTCTCCTCTCCTCTCCTCCTTGAATCCTCCCTGTCTTCTCCTACTCCTTGTATACTCCCTGTCCTCTCCTCCTCCTCCTCCTCCTCATTGTATCCTTTCCTCTCCTCTCCTCCTCCTTGTATCCTTCCTCTCCTCCTCCTTGTATACTCCCTGTCCTCTCCTCTCCTCCTCTTCCTTGTATCCTCCCACTCCTCTCCTCTCCTATTCCTTGTTTCCTCCCTGTCCTCTGCTTTCCTCCTCCTCTCCTCCTCCTTGTATCCTCCCCTGTCCTCTCCTCCTCCTCCTTTTATCCTCCCTGTCCTCTCCTACTCCTTGTATACTCCCTGTCCTCTCCTCCTCCTCCTCCTCCTCATTGTATCCTGTCCCCTCCTCTCCTACTCCTTGTATCCTCCCTTTCCTCTCCTCTCCTCCTCCTTGTATCAAACCCTTTCCTCTCCTCCTCCCTTTCCTCCTCCTCTCCTCCTTGTCTTCTGCTCTTACTTGTATCGTCCCTGCCCCCCCCCCTCCTCATTGTATCCTTTCTCTCCTCCTCCTTGTATCCTCCCTGTCCCCTCCTCCTTTTCTCCTCCTCCCTGTCCTCTCCTCCTCCTTGTGTCCATGCTGGCCTCTCCTCTCCTCCTTGTATCCTCCCTGTCCCCTCCTCTCCTCCTCCGTCCCCTCCTCCTCTCTGTCCTCTCCTGCTCCCTGTCCTCTCCTCCTCCTTGTATCCTCCCTGTCCCCTCCTCTCCTCCTCCTTGTATACTCCCTGTCCTCTCCTCTCCTCCTCCTTGTATCCTCCCTGTCCTCTCCTCTCCTCCTCCTTGTATCCTCCCTGTCCTCTCCTCCTCCGTCCCCTCCTCCTCTCTGTCCTCTCCTGCTCCCTGTCCTCTCCTCCTCCTTGTATCCACCCTGTCCTCTCCTCTCCTCCTCCTTGTATCCTCCCTATCTCCTCTTCTCCTCTTGCCCTCTTGTAACCTCTCCTCTCTTAGCCTTCCTCCTACCTCTCCATTCCACTCCCCTCCTCCACTCCTACATTCTCCCCTCTCTCTTTCTCTGAGTTCCTCTCAGTTTTCAAGGTTATTTGCCATTTGGTATGAATAGCTACATCTTACTTAGGACAGCATGTCTGAGGCATATCCCTTCCTGCCCCTCTCCTCTTCCTCCTCTCACCCTGTTTTCCCTGGCTGGCTAGCTGATTTCCAGACATACCAGACAGGCAGGACAGCAGCCAGCCAGTTTAGCTCACTGAGACCTCAGAATGCCATTCATTCAGACATTCCAGCCAGTCAGGACAGCAGCCAGCCAGCCAGCCTAGCTCACTGAGACCTCAGAATGCCATTCATTCAGAAATACCAGACAACCAGGACAGCAGCCAGCCAGCCAGACAGCCAGGACAGCAGCCAGCCAGCCAGCCAGTCAGCCAGCCAGCCAGACAGCCAGACAGACAGCCAGGACAGCAGCCAGCCAGACAGCCAGACAGCCAGGACAGCAGCCAGCCAGCTAGCCAGCCAGTCAGCCAGCCAGCCAGCCAGCAGACAGACAGTGGGCTAAAGGAAAGAGGGGGAGCAGTGCTGCTGTGTGTTGACTACTAGGGACTGTTTCCAAGGCTCCCAGGACCATCCCTATGGAACAAGCTAGAATACAGATGCAACATTTAACATTTAAGTCATTTAGCAGATGCTCTTATCCAGAGCGACTTACAAATTGGTGCATTCAACTTAGGATAGCCAGTGGGACAACCACCACTGGGGGAGGGGGGGTGTAGAAGGATTACTGTTAGACTATTCCAGGTATTCCTTAAAGAGGTAGGGTTTCAAGTGTCTCCGGAAGACTTGCTATGCAAGACAAGCTATTGCCTTAAGAGCTCTCTGTATTAGAACTCACTCTTCTTTCATCCTCCATATTTCGTATTAGTGTCAATTATCAGCCACACGGTCAGGAATTAGCAAATTCTTTGGCTTTACCCCCAGAAGACTCAAATCATATTCTCTATTATAACAATATCATAAGCATCATGCATAATTGGCTTGATCATGAGTTATGGTATAGATACACTGATTTAATTCATCAAATAGCATATCAGGCTCTTGGGTCTTGAATCTCATCCAGTTTGTACGTGACTGTAAAGCACCCACAATGCATGGCAAAATGTCCTCCAATACTGAGGAGGTTTGGAGCTGTAGGTAGGGCACATGCAACCCAGAGTGCGCAGCTGAACTCTCTATGCTGGAAACACTCTGTTTGTTATTTTAACTAAAACATAATCAATCTCTGTTAAACATAAATACCGAACTTGTTTTTGCATGGATTCCGCGACGCGGTTAGCTTTTAACAGCTAGGACCGCTATTTCTTGTCCCGGAATCTCGCTTAACTGACAGGTTAAAATCTGCTTGAAAGAGCCACTCACCTAGCTAAGCTGCTGATGGCTAACGAAGTTAGTCCCAGATTAGTTTTCCAAGCCCTTTCTGTCTTGAGAAGTAAATTAACGGTTCCAGCGCTGTAGAAGCTGCATCTACTATGCTTTGTTTTTCGGGACAAACTGGATTCCAAACTGAGTTCCAATGCGGCAATTGTTTGCTTGCCTAGGATTATAGGCTTGAGGTGGCTTCCTTGATCACGCAGGTCGCCAGCCTACGTAAGAAACGCAGAGTGGAATGTTTTACCTTTTCTACACCGGTGGCTGGACGGCGTTCGCGCATGTTGGATGCATCTCCGCCTTGTCATTTGGCCGGTGTTGCCAGGGGAGACATCCTGCCTCTCCTCTCCCATCCGATAGTGGAGTCGAAGGAGCACAGCGAGAGGAGCATGGCAATCAACGATGGTCGCATGTCACGAGCCGTGGAAGCCGAGCACAGTGGCCTCCCACAAAAGCAGTCTACACTCTCAACGAGAGGCCCAGAGCGGATACAAACAACAAATAGTTTCGCCGCCCTGGCCTGCACCATCCTGTGAAGCGTGGGAGTGGGCGGATTTCCTCGTCCTTCTGGCCAGCCGTGTTTTTGGGCAGCTCCATGGTATAAAATGTGAGTGTTACTGGTGCAAGAACAATGTCCTATCCCGGAGCTCGTGTAAATGAAATTACTAAGCTGCTCCCAAATGTACTACGCCAGGAACATGGACATCGATTCTATCGTAGTCCATGTGGGTTTTAATGACATTATGAAGGGCAGCTCTGAACAGTTGAAACTGGATTTCGAAGAGCTGATTGACTCTGTGCTAGACACTAATAAAATACCTATCATATCTAGCCCTGTGCCCTCTCTGAATCGTGGCATTGAACGCTTTAGCAGGATTCTCTTCACAACTGGCTACGTGATTATTGCAGCTCAATGGGTGTAACGTTTGTTGACAATTTCGATACCTTTCGGAAAACAAAACACATTTTATAAGGAGGATGGGATCCACCCAAATCATTTGGGTTCCTGGATCCTTTCACAGCATTATAAGGCTGCATTGAGACAATGACTTATCAATCCAAGCCCAGCACAGTTAATCCCTACCATTGTGTCGCTGAGTCATCATAATGCTTTAGCAAATGTACATTATACCGGGGGCATTGGTAAACACAATGTTAGTAACCTAATTTATGTCCCTCTAACTGTCCTGAATGCCTCTGCTGATCCTACAGCTATTGTACGCAGTAATCATGTTCCTATGAACCAGATTTATGCTGTTAGCACTGAGGTGGTGTGCCCAAGTAGTAAGTTCACTGTGTGCAGCTCACCCTGCACTAACATAAATAACATGAAAATATCTACTTCTGCTAAGCTTCCCAGTAAAGCAATGAAAACAAGCAAGCATCCCAGAAAAGTGCTGAAAATAGCCCATGTTAACATATGTAGCTTAAGAAACAAGGTTCATGAAATTAATAACTTGCTAGTAACAGTTAACATTCATATTCTGACTATTTCTGAAATGCACTTAGACAATACCTTTTGATACAGTGGTAGCAATACAAGGTTATAACATTTACAGAATAGACAGAAATGCCAGTGGTGGAGGTGTTGCTGTTTATATTCAGAACCACATTCCTGTAAAGATTAGAGAGGATCTCATGTTAAATACTGTTGAAGTAATATGGCAACAGGTTCATCTGCCTCACCTAAACCCCATTATTGTGGGAAGCTGCTATAGACCACCAAGTGGTAACAGTCAGTATCTGGATAACGTGTGAAATGCTTGATAATGTATGTGATATCAACAGAGAGGTATATTTTCTGGGTGATTTAAATATTGACTGGCTTTCATCAAGCTGTCCACTCAAGAAAAAGCTTCAAACTGAAACCAGTGCCTGCGACCTGGTTCAGGTTATCAGTCAACCTACCAGGGTAGTTACAAACAGCACAGGAATGAAATCATCAACATGTATTGATCACATCTTTACTAATGCTGTAGAAATGTGCTTGAAAGCAGTATCCAGATCCATCGGATGTAGTGATCACAATATAGTAGCCATATCTAGGAAAACCAAAGTTCCAAAGGCTGGACCTAATATAGTGTATAATAGGTCATACAATACGTTTTGTAGTGATTCCTATGTTGTTGATGTAAATAATATTTTTTGGTCCGTGGTGTGTAATGAGGAGCAAACAGATGTTGCACTTTAGACACATTTATGAAATTGCTTATCCCAGTTACTAATAAGCATGCACCTATTGGCAAGTAATGGCAAGTAAGTCTGGCTGCACAACCGATTGGCAAACGTATTGCAAATTGAGAAATCATGTGACTAAACTGAATAAAAATAAGAAACTACACTATGAAACAAATTACATAAAGAATGATAGTAAAAAGCTTTGGAGCACCTTAAATGAAATTTTGGGAAAAAAGGCAAACTCAGCTCCATCATTAATTGAATCAGATGGCTCATTCGTCACAAAACCGACTGATATTGCCAACTACTTGAATGATTTTTTCATTGGCAAGATTAGCAAATTTAGGCATGACATGCGAGCAACAAACGCTGACAACTACACATACAAGTATATCTGACCAAATTATGAAAGACAAGAATTCTAATTTTGAATTCCGTAAAGTGAGTGTGGAATAGGTGAAAAAATTGTTGTTGTCTATCAACAATGACAAGCCGTCGGGGTCTGACAACTACTATGGAAAATTACTGAGGATAATAGCGGACGATATTGCCACTCCTATTTGCCATATCTTCAATGTAAGCCTACTAGAAAGTGTGAGCCCTCAGGCCTTGAGGGAAGCAAAAGTCATTCCGCTACCTAAGAATAGTAAAGCCCCCTTTACTGGCTCAAATAGCCGACCAATCAGCCTGTTACCAACCCGTAGTAAAGTTTTGGGAAGAAAATGGTGTTTGACCAGATACAATGCTATTTTACAGTAAACTAATTGACAACAGACTTTCAGCACGCTTACAGGGAAGGACATTCAACAAGCACAGCACTTACACAAATGACTGATGATTGGCTGAGAGAAATTGATGATAAAAAGATTGTGGGGGCTGTTTTTTTTTTACTTCAGTGCGGCTTTTGACATTATCGATCATAGTCTGCGGCTGGAAAAACGTATGTGTTATGGCTTTACACCCCTGCTATATTGTGGATAAAGAGTTACCTGTCTAACAGAACACAGAGGGTGTTCTTTAATGGAAGCCTCTCCAACATAATCCAGGTAGAATCAGGAATTCCCCAGGGCAGCTGTCTAGGCCCCTTACTTTTTTAAATATTTACTAACGACATGCCAATGGCTTTGAGTAAAGCAAGTGTGTCTATGTATGTGGATGACTCAACACTATTCACGTCAGCTACTACAGTGACTGACATGACTGCAACACTTAACAAAGAGCTGCAGTTAGTTTAAGAATGAGTGGCAAGGAATAAGCTAGTCCTAAATATTTCAAAAACTAAATGCATTGTATTTGGGAAGTCATTCACTAAACCCTAAACCTCAACTAAATCTTGCAATAAATAATGTGGAAATTGAGCAAGTTCAGGTGACTAGACTGCTTGGAGTAACCCTGGATTGTAACTGTCATGGTCAAACATATTGATACAACAGTAGCTAAGATGGGGAGAAGTCTGTCCATAATAAAGCGCTGCTCTACCTTCTTAACAGCACTATCAACAAGGCAGGTCCTACAGGCTCTAATTTTGTCGCACCTGGACTACTGTTCAGTCATGTGGTCAGGTGCCACAAAGAGGGACTTAGGAAAATTGCAATTTGCTCAGAACAGGGCAGCACGGCTGGCCCTTGGATGTACACAGAGAGCAAACATTAATATTATGCATGTCAATCTCTCCTGGCTCAAAGTAGAGAAGCGATTGACTTCATCACTACTTGTTTTTGTGAGAGGTATTGCCATGTTGAAAGCACCGAGCTGTCTGTTTAAATGACTAGCACACAGCTCAGACACCCATGCATACCCCACAAGACATGCCACCAGAGGTCTCTTCACAGTCCCCAAGTCCAGAACAGACTATGGGAAGCGCACAGTACTACATAGACCCATGACTACATGGATCTCTATTCCACATCAGGTAACTGATGCAAGCAGTAGAGTCAGATTTAAGAAACAGATAAAAATACACCTTATGGAACAGCAGGGACTGTGAAGCAACACAAACATAGGCACAGACACATGCATACACGCACAAGATAACATACAGTGGCTTGCGAAAGTATTCACCCCCCTTGGCATTTTTCCTATTTTGTTGCCTGACAACCTGGAATTAAATTTGATTTTTGGGGGGGTTTGTATCATTTGATTTACACAACATGCCTACCACTTTGAAGATGCAAAATAAATACAAATCTGAAACAAACAAGAAATAAGACAAAAAAACAGAACTTGAGCGTGCATAACTATTTACCCCCCCAAAGTCAATACTTTGTAGAGCCACCTTTTGCAGCAATTACAGCTGCAAGTCTCTTGGGGTGTTTCTCTATAAGCTTGGCACATCTAGCCACTGGGATTTTTGCCCATTCTTCAAGGCAAAACTGCTCCAGCTCCTTCAAGTTGGATGGGTTCCGCTGGTGTACAGCAATCTTTAAGTCATACCACAGATTCTCAATTGGATTGATGTCTGGACTTTGACTAGGCCAAGACATTTCAATGTTTCCCCTTAAACCACTCAAGTGTTGCTTTAGCAGTATGCTTAGGGTCATTGTCCTGCTGGAAGGTGAACCTCCGTCCCAGTCTCAAATCTCTGGAAGACTGAAACAGGTTTCCCTCAAGAATTTCCCTGTATTTAGCGTCATCCATCATTCCTTCAATTCTGACCAGTTTCCCAGTCCCTGCCGATGGAAAACATGGTGTTCTCGGGGTGATGAGAAGTGTTGGGTTTGCGCCAGACATAGCGTTTTCCCTGATGGCCAAAAAGCTCAATTTTAGTCTCATCTGACCAGAGTACCTTCTTCCATATGTTTGGGGAGTCTCCCACATGCCTTTTGGCGAACACCAAACGTGTTTGCTTATTTCTTTCTTTAAGCAATGGCTTTTTCTGGCCACTCTTCCGTAAAGCCCAGCTCTGTGGAGTGTACGTCTTAAAGTGGTCCTATAGACAGATACTCCAATCTCCGCTGTGGAGCTTTGCAGCTCCTTCAGGGTTATCTTTTGTCTCTTTGTTGCCTCTCTGATTAATGCCTTCCTTGCCAGGTCCGTGAGTTTTGGTGGGCGGCCCTCTCTTGGCAGGTTTGTTGTGGTGCCATATTCTTTCAATTTTTTAATAATGGGTTTAATGATGCTCCGTGGGATGTTCAAAGTTTTTTTATAACCCAACCCTGATCTGTACTTCTCCACAACTTTGTCCCTGACCTGTTTGGAGAGCTCCTTGGTATTCATGGTGCCGCTTGCTTGGTGGTGCCCCTTGCATAGTGGTGTAGCAGACTCTGGGGCCTTTCAGAACAGGTGTGTGTGTGTGTGTGTGTGTGTGTATATATATATATATATATATATATATGTATATATATGTTTATGTGTGTGTGTGAGAGATCATGTGACACTTAGATTGCACACAGGTGGACTTTATTTAACTAATTATGTGACTTCTGAAGGTAATTGGTTGCACCAGATCTTATTTAGGGGCTTCATAGCAAAGGGGGTGAATACATATGCACGCACCACTTTTTCGTTATTTATTTTGTCAAATTTTTTGAAACAAGTTTTTTTTTTTCATTTCACTTCACCAATTTTGACTATTTTGTGCATGTCCATGAAATCCACAGGTTGTAATGCAACAAAATAGGAAAAACGCCAAGGGGTATGAATACTTTTGCAGAGCACTGTACGCACTATACACACACATACAGATTGATTTTGCGTTGTAGATATGTGGTAGTGGAGTAGGGGCTTGAGGGCACACACTGAAATCTGTTATGAATGTATTGTAATGTTTTTATAATTGTATAGCTGCCTTAATGTTGCTGGACCCCAGGAAGAGTAGCTGCTGCCTTGGCAGTGTGATTAACATGATTACATTGTTGTTGTTTGACATAATTGTGCTAGTAGTGTGTGGGTATTGACCCATCTTATTTTCATTCTGTAATAGTCCTCTATCCCTCTCTCTCTCTCCTCTCTCTCCCTCTCTCTCCCTCTCCCTCTCTCTCTCTCTCTCTCTCTCTCTCTCTCTCTCTCTCTCTCTCTCTCTCTCTCTCTCTCTCTCTCTCTCTCTCTCTCTCTCTTTCTGTCTCCCTCTCTCTTTTTGTCTCCCTCTCGGTCTCCCTCTTTCTCTCTCTGTCTCTCTCTCCCTCTCTCTCTCTTCACCTCCGTAGTGTGGCGGTCACTCGTTCCCGCGACGTCCCGTCCTTCGGCCCTCCCATCCCAGAGGGCGTTTCCTTCCCCAAGTCCTCGGCGTTCCGGGACTTCCTTTTGGCCAAGGTCATCAACGCAGAAAACGCCGCCCACAAATCTCACAAGTTCCGCGCCATGGCGACGCGGACACGTCAGGAGTACCTCAGAGAACTGGCGGAGCGCCACACCACATCGACCCCCATCGACCCGTCCGGGAAATTCCCCTTCATCTCATTGGCTCACAAGAGGAAGGAGAAGAGTCGTCCGTACGCCGGGGCGGAACTTCGGAGCCTCGGCGCCGTCACGTGGGCGGTCCACGCCGAGGATCATGGCGCGGGAGGCGAGCTCGAAGCACTATTGGCTATCTCCAATGACTTTCTCATCCTATTGGATCAGGAGGCCAAGGCCGTGGTGTTTAACTGTGCTACAAATGACGTGATTGGCTGGACGCTGGGGAGTCCCGCCTCCATGAGGATCTTCTATGAGAGAGGGGAGAGCGTGTCGCTGAGGTCTGTTAGTAACAACACAGAAGACTTCAGAGAGGTGGTGAAACGACTGGAGGTGAGGAGAGGAGAACAGACACACACACACACAGACACACACAGACACAGACACACACACACACACAGACACACACACACAGACACAGACACACACAGACAGACACACACACACACAGACACAGACACACACACAGACACACACAGACACACACACACAGACACACACACACAGACACACACACAGACACACACACACACAGACACACACACACACACACACACAGACACACACGGTACATTCAGTTCCAGTGTCATGTCTTATTGTTTCTGCCAGAAGTTGTGTCTAGTCTGCATACTGATGATGGTGATGACATCTTATTGCCAGAAGTTGTGTTTAGTCTGCATACTGATTATGGTGATGACATCTTATAGCCAGAAGTTGTCTAGTCTGCATACTGATGATGGTGATGACATCTTATAGCCAGAAGTTGTTGTGTCTAGTCTGCATACTGATGATGGTGATGACATCTTATAGCCAGAAGTTGTTGTGTTTAGTCTGCATACTGATGATGGTGATGACATCTTATAGCCAGAAGTTGTTGTCTAGTCTGCATACTGATGATGGTGATGACATCTTATAGCCAGAAGTTGTTGTGTCTAGTCTGCATACTGGTGATGACGTCTTATAGCCAGAAGTTGTTGTCTAGTCTGCATACTGATGATGGTGATGACATCTTATAGCCAGAAGTTGTTGTCTAGTCTGCATACTGATGATGGTGATGACATCTTATAGCCAGAAGTTGTTGTCTAGTCTGCATACTGATGATGGTGATGACATCTTATAGCCAGAAGTTGTTGTGTCTAGTCTGCATACTGATGATGGTGATGACATCTTATAGCCATAAGTTGTTGTCTAGTCTGCATACTGGTGATGACATCTTATAGCCAGAAGTTGTTGTCTAGTCTGCATACTGTTGATGTTGACATCTTAGATGACTGTACTTATCTAGTGAAGGTTCATAAGAATCTCTGGCAGACTAGGGCTGCATCCCAAATTGTACCCTTTTCCCTAAGTAGTGACCTATATAGGGAATAGGATGCCATTTGGGACAAAGCCTAACTCATAATTGCTTGGGTGATGGTTCTTATCTGTTACCATAGCAACAAGCGAGGTAAAATCATTTCCTTATGTAATCACCATCATCCGCTGTTCTAAAAGACCTCCTCCATTTCCTCCAGCTCAGTCAATGGTGTGACATAAACACACATACCCACACGCACACGCACACGCACACAAACACAAACACACACACACACACACACACACACGCCGCAATGAGTGTGTGTCTGTTGTGTGTTAGTAGATCCATTCAAGAAGAGGGAAATGCAGTCAGTCACAAAAGCACCTTCACATCACTTTCAGACACAATTTTCAATAGAGTGTATCTACTTTCACTCTCTGAGGAATGTGTTGATCTTCAGTCAGTGCTGCCACCTTTGTGTGAGGGAGCGGGCGAAAGGAGACAGAGGAATAATATACTGGTACTTCACTTCACAAACTCACACTCATCTTCCTGCAAGAGGTCTAACACACACACACTGCAGAGAGCATTAAAGAACCCAAAACAGGCCCCATCTACCTCAAAACAGTCCCCATCTACCTCAAAACAGGCCCCATCTACCTCAAAACAGTCCCCATCTACCTCAAAACAGTCCCCATCTACCTCAAAACAGTCCCCATCTACCTCAAAACAGTCCCCATCTACCTCAAAACAGTCCCCATCTACCTCAAAACAGGCCCCATCTACCTCAAAACAGTCCCCATCTACCTCAAAACAGGCCCCATCTACCTCAAAACAGTCCCCATCTACCTCAAAAACAGCCCCATCTACCTCAAAACAGGCCCCATCTACCTCAAAACAGTCCCCATCTACCTCAAAACAGGCCCCATCTACCTCAAAACAGTCCCCATCTACCTCAAAACAGTCCCCATCTACCTCAAAACTGTCCATTTCTACCTCAGCCCCGTCCCCATCTACCTCAGCCCTGTCCCCATCTACCTCAGACAAGTCCCTATCTACAGTGCATTCGGAAAGTATTCAGACCCCTTGACTTTTTCCACATTTTGTTACATTACAGCCTTATTCTAAAATGGATTAAAAAAAGAAATCCTTATCAATCTACACACAATACCCCATAATGACAAAGCGAAAACGGGTTTCTAGAAATATATATCTATATATAAATAAAAATATACCTTATTTACATAAGTATTCTGACCCTTTGCTATGAGACTCGAAATTCAACTCCGGTGCATCCTGTTTCCATTGATCATCCTTGAGATGTTTCTACAACTTCATTGGAGTCCACCTGTCGTAAATTCAATTGATTGGACATGATTTGGAAAGGCACACACCTATCTATTAAAGGTCCCACAGTTGACAGTGCATGTCAGAGCAAAAACCTCCAAGACAGGATTGTGTCGATGCACAGATCTGGGGAAGGGTACCAAAACATTTCTGCAGCATTGAAGGTCCCAAAGAACACAGTGGCCTCCATCATTCTTAAATGGAAGAAGTTTGGAACCACCAAGACTCTTCCTAGAGCTGGCCGCCCAGCCAAACTGAGCAATCGGGGGAGAAGGGCCTTGGTCAGGGAGGTGACCAAGAACGCAATGGTCACTCTGACAGAGCTCCAGAGTACCTCTGTGGAGATGGGAGAACCTTCCAGAAGGACAACCATCTCTGCAGCACTCCACCAATCAGGCCTTTATGGTAGAGTGGCCAGACGGAAGCCACTCCTCAGTAAAAGGCACATGACAGCCCGCTTGGAGTTTGCCAAAAAGGCACCTAAAGACTCTCAAACCATGAGAAACAAGATTCTCTGGCCTGATGAAACCAAGATTGAACTCTTTGGCCTGAATGCAAAGCGTCATGTCTGGAGGAAACCTGGCACCATTCAGCTGCAGGGACTGGGAGACTAGTCAGGATCGAGGGAAAGATGAACGGAGCAAGGTACAGAGAGATCCTTGATGAAAACCTTCTCCAGAATGCTCAGGACCTCAGACTGGGGCGAAGGTTCACCTTCCAACAGGACAACAACCCTAAGCACACAGCCAAGACAACGCAGGAGTGGCTTCGGGACAAGTCTCTGAATGTCCTTGAGTGACCCAGCCAGAGCCCGGACTTGAATCTGATCGAACATCTCCCCATCCAACCTGACAGAGCTTTAGAGGATCTGCAGAGCATAATGGGAGAAACTCCCCAAATAGATGTGTGCCAAGCTTGTAGCGTCATACCCAAGAAGACTCAAGGCTGTAATTTTTGCCAAAGGTGCTTCAACAAAGTACTGAGTAAAGGGTCTAAATACTTATGTAAATGTGTTATTTCAGTTTTGTATTTTTTTATAAATCTTCAAACATTTCTTAAAAACCTGTTTTCGCTTTGTCATTATGGGGTATTGTGTGTAGATTGATGTGGGAAAAAATAAATGTAATCAATTTTAGAATAAGGCTGTAACGTAACAATGTGGAAAAAGTCAAGGGGTCTGAGTACTTTCCGAATGCACTGTACCTCAGACCAGTCCCTATCTACCTCAGACCAAATAGTATTTTTAAAGCAGCCAGGTCTGTGTCTATCTACTGAATAAATTATTCATCACAGAAGTTTTAAGTGGTATAGAGAGACAAATTATCATGCAGACACTGTCTCCTCCATTGTGTGTGTGTGTGTGTTACCAGTCATGGGGCCCTTAGCTAGCTGTATTTATAGTGCCAGGGCCTCTCAGGTCCACTTTAGCTTGAGTTCCCTCTTTCCTGTCCCCCACTAAAGAAAACAACACACACTTAACCACTTATACTGCACCCTCTGTTATGACAAAGTGACCTGTGTGTCTGTCTGTCTATGTGGAAACATCAGAGGACCTTTTTGCATGCCGATACTAAAAGTCTTCAGTAATAGTTATCATATAATTTAACATGCTTGATCACTTACCACTCATTCTGTCTATCCTTCTGTCTCCTGACTAAGGGCTGTTATTTGCTATGTTGTACTGCAAACAAATGAATCACATCCTCTCTCTCTCCCCACTCTCTCTCTCCCCCACTCTCTTCCCCCTCCTTCTCTCTCTCTCTCCATCCTTCTCTCTCTCCCCCCTCTCTCCCCCACCTCTCTCTCTCCCCTCTCTCTCTCCCCACTCTCTTCCCCCTCCTTCTCTCTCTCTCTCCATCCTCCTCTCTCTCTCCCCCTCTCTCTCTCCCTTTCGTCTCTCTCCCCCCCCCCTCTCATTCTCCCCCTTCTCTCCCCACCTCTCTCCCACTCTTCCCCTCCTCTCCCCACACCTCTCTCTCTTCTCCCACTGTTCTTCTTGCCCCCCCACTTTTTCTTCCCCCCTCCCTCTCTCTATCACCTCCTTCTCTCATCGTGCTCCATCCTCCTCCTCTCCCTTCTCTCTCCTTCCTCTCTCCCCCCCTTTCTCTCCTCTCTCTCCCCTCTCTCTCTCTGCCCTCTCTCTCTCTCCTCCCCTCCATCCTCTCTCCTCCCCCCTCTCCCCCTCACCCACCAGTGACCTGACTAAGGGTTGTGAGACCTCTGAGATGACACTGCGTCGTAACGGGCTGGGCCAGCTGGGCTTCCACGTCAACTACGAGGGCATCGTGGCAGAGGTGGAGTCGTACGGGTACGCCTGGCAGGCGGGGCTGAGGCAGGGCAGCCGATTGGTCGAAATCTGCAAAGTATGTCATTTGAAGTTGTAGATTTCATTGTGTCATTGGATAATTATTGTGTACCATATAATGGTATTCCATATAAAATAAACAATTTTGTCAAGGTTGCCGTGGCGACTCTGACCCACGAGCAGATGATTGACCTACTGAGGACGTCGGTCACCGTCAGGGTGGTCATCATACCCCCGCACGAAGACGCTACCCCACGCAGGTGTGTGTCTGAGGGGGTGTGTATGTGTTTATCTGAGGGGGTGTGTGTGTGTGTTTGTCTGAGGGGGTTGGTGTGTGTGTGTGATGTCAGTGATGATCAGATTGGTGATTGTGAGGTCATCATCATGTCAACCATGTGTGTAGTCTTACCTCTGCTTCTTACCTGACCCCCCTCTCTCTCCCTCCCCTCTCTCTTTCTCCCCCCTCTCTCTTTCTCCCCCCTCTCTCTTCCTCCCCCCTCTCTCTTCCTCCCCCTCTCTCTCCCTCCCCCTCTCTCATCCCTCCCCCCTCTCTTCCTCCCCCTCTCTCTTCCTCCCCCTCTCTTCCTCCCCCTCTCTCTTCCTCCCCCTCTCTCCCCCCCCTCTCTACCTCCCCTCTAACCCTACTCCCGTACCTCCCCCTCGCTTCTGCCCTCCCCCCTCGTCTTCCTACCTCCCCCTCGTCTTCCTCCCCCTCCATCTTTCCTCCGCCCTCCTCTCTTTCCTCCCCCCTACTCTTTCCTCTCCCCCTTCCTCTCCCTCTCTCTCCTCCCTCTCAATCTTCTATCCTCTCACTCTCCTCTCCTACCCCTCGTCTCACCCTCCCCCTCCATCTCTTTCCTTCCCGCCTCCTCTTCCTCTCCCTTCCCTCTCCGTCTCTTCCTCTGCCTCTCCGGTCCTCTTCCCTCTTCCTCCCTCTCTCTTCCTCTCCCTCTCTCTCCTCCCTCTCTCTCTACAGAGGTTGCTCTGAGCTCTACCGTATGCCGGTGGTGGAGTATAAGGGCAGTGGTGAGAGCGGTTCGTTTGACTACAAGTTCCCGTTCCGCAGCAAAGACAACAAGTGGCAGAGAACCTCCAGTAGTCCCCAGCAGTCCCTGATGGCCTCCCCCCAGCCGCACACCCCCAACCGGGCCGTTAGCCTGGGGAGCTCTGGGGGGAAGACCCTGTCTGCTGAACGCCCAGAGAGGAACGCTGCTATACCACGCAGTGTCAGTAGTGATGGACGACCACTGGATACCAAGAGGTGAGGAGAGGAGGGAGGAAGAGGAAATAAAAGATTGCTGCTTTGACAACATTAGATTGCTCCTTTCATGTCAATAAAGTTAGTTTGAATTTGGTAGGGGGAAGGGTGAGAGGGTTAATGTATTCTCTCTGTATCTCCTAATTGTTTTATGTAGTATTTCGTCTTCTCTGGTAAACCCCCCCCCACCCCCTCCAGAATGTCTCCAGGCAGTGAGAACTATGCCCTAGCCTGCTCTCTGGCACTGTGTTAGGGTCTGGGTTAGAGGGTTAATGTCTATTCTGTGTTATCTCCACCTCTCCAGAATGTCTCCAGGCAGTGAGAACTATGCCCTAGCCTCTTCTCTGGCGCTGGGTCGTTCTCCTCACAACCGCTCTTCCCCCTCCAACCTCTCCTGCTCCAGTGACACCTCACAGGGCTCACAGCACTGGAGGACTCAGAAGTCCATGCCTGAGGGGTAAGAGATGGAGTGTGTGGGTGCGTCACCTGTAGCAAGACGTAACACAGAGCCCTTTATGTAAAAGTTAAGGAAGTGGTTAAACGCCGTTGAAATGGGAGGAAAAACTTGGAAAGGAAGCGCTATATCCAATAACAATTATTTAAGATTTTTCCATTTGAAAACGCTGTGGTGCAGCCTGTTGACCAGCTTGTGTCCGTTACATAGAGGCCGACCTTCAACTTCCTCACGGCTCTGTCCATGGATTGTATTCGTCGCAAATGGCAGCCTTATTCCCTAAATAGCGCCCTACTTTCCCTATATAGTGCCCTACTTTCCCTAAATAGTGCCCTACTTCCCCTAAATACTGCCCTACTTTCCCTATATAGTGCCCTACTTTCCCTAAATAGTGCCCTACTTTCCCTAAATACTGCCCTACTTTCCCTATATAGTGCCCTACAAATTAGGGAATAGTGTGCCATTTGGTACATTGCCCATGACTTAGTCCGTGCAGAGGGAGCAACTTCCGCCCACAACTCTGCTTTTCAATTGACCTTACATTCATTGTCTTTATCTTTCTAATCTTACTATGGACAGCACATGTTATGTTAACAGGAAACGACATGTCTGCCGTTATGTTCTGTGGACGACATGATGTCGTAAAATGTTATTAAATTAGTTGTTTTCCTGTGTGTGTGTGTGTGTGTGTGTGTGTGTACATGCGTGCACGTTCTAGGTTTGGAGAACGCAGACAACACTCCCCTTTGTCTACAGAGCGACAGGTGGTAGGAGAAGGTGGGGCTAGTGGCAAGTCCACACCTAATTGGCCGAGAGTGGAGGAAGGGGGCGGGCCCGACAGAGGTTCTACAGGTGAGATTGACCATATGGGAGAGAGATTTGCTACTATAGAAAGAAAAGACAGCTTAATTCCTATTCCCACATATACAGATTTTTGGCTGCAATAATGTCCATACTATCATAGTACTTAGAAGGAGCAGTGTATTAGGGCTGCGCTCTAAATGCTAATGTGGATATTGGACCATAGTGATGTAATGGTCGAATAGAAACCTCCAATAAAAGATGATACACTGTAGAACATATTACTGTGGTATGTCAGATGTTGAGTACTTTCAATGCATACATACACCTACTCCTAAACATACCTTACTCTGTTAAATGCATCTGTTGAGCATGAATCCATCAGTCTGGTAGCTTGCTGTGTTAAAACTTTGCCTCTGTCGCATTTAGTATTTATCGGGCTGGTACATTACGTTTGAAGTTAAGCGGGAGGGAGGGAGGGAGGGAGGGAGGGAGGGAGGGAGGGAGGGAGAGAGAGAGAGGCTGTCAGTAGTACTTTCCCATGGCTCTTTCTGTATGAAACGGCTGTTGGCTTTGACAGCACTGACAGTCCTTCTCTTCCTCCATTCTCCTCTTCTTCCTGTCAGTACACTTCCACACTGATCTCGACAAACCATTTCTGTAAGGGCCTCGCTTTGTGCAAGGGGGGCATTGTCATGCTGAAACAGGAAAGGACCTTCCCCAAACTATTGCCACAAAGTTGGAAGCACATAATCGTCTCAAATGTCATTGTATGCTGCAGTGTTAAGATTTCTCTTCACTGGAACTAAGGTGCCTAGCCCGAACCATGAAAAACAGCCCCAGACCATTATTCCTCCTCCACCAAACTTTACAGTTGGCACTATGCATTGGGGCAGGTAGCGTTCTCCAGACATCCGCCAAACCCAGATTAGTTTTTCAGAGAAGAGGATGAGAGAGATTGAGGGGTCAAGAGGTCAGAGAAGAGAAGAGGATGAGAGAGATTGAGGGGTCAAGATCAGAGAAGAGGATGAGAGAGATTCATCACTTCAGAGAACGCATTTCCACTGCTCCAGTGTCCAATGGCGCGGGTTTTACACTACTCCAGCCGACGCTTGGCATTGCGCATGGTGATCTTAGGCTTGTGTGCAGCTGCTTGGCCATGGAAACCCATTTCAAGAAGCTCCCGACGAACAGTTCTTGTGCTAACGTTGCTTCCAGAGGCAGTGTTGTGTTGTGTTGCAACCGAGGACAGGTCCCGTTCTGTGAGCTTGTGTGGCCTACCACTTCGCGGCTTAGCCGTTGTTTCTCCTAGACGTTTCCACTTCCACAATAACAGCACTTACAGTTGACCGGGGCAGCTGTAGCAGGGTAGATATTTAACGAACTGACTTGTTGGAAAGGTGGCATCCTATGGTCGGTGCCATATTGAAAGTCACTGACCTCTTCAGTACGGCCATTTTTCTGCCAATGTTTGTCTATGGAGATTGCATGTCTGTGTGCTTGATTTTATACACCTGTCAGCAACGGGTGGGGCTGAAATAGGCTAATCCACTAATTTGAAGGGGTTTCCAAATACTGCTGTATATACAGTGTATATAGTTTACCTCTTTCTATTCCTTTATATCCACCTTTCTTTCTTTTCCTCTCTTTCTCTCTTTCTTTCTCTCATTTCTCTCCTTTTCTCTTTGTTCAAGGCTCTCTGTAGGGAAATGAAAAACAGAAATGCCTCTCTTTCCTGTCGGTACAGTTGTGTAACCCACTGTGTGTCTCTCTCTCTCTCCCTGTTTAGCTTTTCATTGGTTTCCACTCAGTTTCTGACCACTGTTCTGTCTGGAATATGTGGTTCTTACAGCTGTAGATGACTCAGTTCTCACCCAATATATCCAAATCCATTTGAACCCAGCCCATTTTCAGCCCATTCAACCCAGTCCAGTATAACTAAACCCAGTCCAACCCACCCCAGTCCAGTATAACTAAACCCAGTCCAACCCACCCCAGTCCAGTATAACTAAACCCAGTCCAACCCACCCCAGTCCAGTATAACTAAACCCAGTCCAACCCACCCCAGTCCAGTATAACTAAACCCAGTCCAACCCACCCCGGTCCAGTATAACTAAACCCAGTCCAACCCACCCCAGTCCAGTATAACTAAACCCAGTCCAACCCACCCCAGTCCAGTATAACTAAACCCAGTCCACCCACCCCAGTCCAGTATAACTAAACCCGTCCAACCCACCCCAGTCCAGTATAACTAAACCCAGTCCAACCCACCCCGGTCCAGTAAACTAAACCCAGTCCAACCCACCCCAGTCCAGTATAACTAAACCAGTCCAACCCCCCCAGTCCAGTATAACTAAACCCAGTCCAACCCACCCCGGTCCAGTATAACTAAACCCAGTCCAACCCACCCCAGTCCAGTATAACTAAACCCAGTCCAACCCACCCCAGTCCAGTATAACTAAACCCAGTCCAACCCACCCCAGTCCAGTATAACTAAACCCAGTCCAACCCGCCCCAGTCCAGTATAACTAAACCCAGTCCAACCCACCCCAGTCCAGTATAACTAAACCCAGTCCAACCCGCCCCAGTCCAGTATAAGCCACAGATATCCTGTAAATCTATATGTAATTCTATGATTTCAGCCCAGTGCTGGCCAGTCCAGTTCAGCCAAGCCTCACTCAATCTGTCTCATCCTCCTTTCATTTCTTCTCTGACCTCTTGACCCCTCAATCTCTCTCATCCTCTTCTCTGACCTCTTGACCCCTCAAATCACTCTCATCCTCTTCTCTGACCTCTTGACCCCTCAATCTCTCTCATCCTCTTCTCTGACCTCTTGACCCCTCAATCTCTCTCATCCTCCTCTCTGACCTCTTGACCCCTCAATCGTTCTCATCCTCTTCTCTGACCTCTTGACCCCTCAAATCACTCTCCTTCTCTGACCTCTTGACCCCTCAATCTCTCTCATCCTCTTCTCTGACCTCTTGACCCCTCAATCTCTCTCATCCTCTTCTCTGACCTCTTGACCCCTCAATCTCTCTCATCCTCTTCTCTGACCTCTTGACCCCTCAATCTCTCTCATCCTCCTCTCTGACCTCTTGACCCCTCAATCGCTCTCATCCTCTTCTCTGACCTCTTGACCCCTCAAATCACTCTCCTTCTCTGACCTCTTGACCCCTCAATCTCTCTCATCCTCTTCTCTGACCTCTTGACCCCTCAATCTCTCTCATCCTCTTCTCTGACCTCTTGACCCCTCAATCTCTCTCATCCTCTTCTCTGACCTCTTGACCCCTCAATCTCTCTCATCCTCTTCTCTGACCTCTTGACCCCTCAATCTCTCTCATCCTTTTCTCTGACCTTTTGACCCCTCAATCTCTTCTGGTGATGTGTCCCTTCTCCTCCATCCTGAAATAACATTAGTCATGGTCACACCCATGCAGGGACTGAAACCATGAACACAGACACGGAGACACACACAGACACGGAGACACATACAAACACGGAGACACACACACACGGAGAGACACACACAGACACACTCGTTAGAGAGAAGGCAGACTGCACAGCAGACAACTGCTGAAGGGTGAAATATGGTTAGAATCATTCTCTGTTTACCATGGAGTTCTGTTATGACACTTTTCTACTGTTCTCTTCTTCCTCATCTCTATGCAGTCCCTCTCTGTTTTCTACTGTTCTCTTCTTCCTCATCTCTATGCAGTCCCTCTCTGTTTTCTACTGTTCTCTTCTTCCTCATCTCTATGCAGTCCCTCTCTGTTTTCTACTGTTCTCTTCTTCCTCATCTCTATGCAGTCCCTCTCTGTTTTCTACTGTTCTCTTCTTCCTCATCTCTATGCAGTCCCTCTCGGTTTTTCTACTGTTCTCTTCTTCCTCATCTCTATGCAGTCCCTCTCTGTTTTTCTACTGTTCTCTTTCTTCCTCATCTCTATGCAGTCCCTCTCTGTTTTCTACTGTTCTCTTCTTCCTCATCTCTATGCAGTCCCTCTCGGTTTTCTACTGTTCTCTTCTTCCTCATCTCTATGCAGTCCCTCTCTGTTTTCTACTGTTCTCTTCTTCCTCATCTCTATGCAGTCCCTCTCGGTTTTCTACTGTTCTCTTCTTCCTCATCTCTATGCAGTCCCTCTCTGTTTTTCTACTGTCTCTTCTTCCTCATCTCTATGCAGTCCCTCTCTGTTTTTCTACTGTTTCTCTTCTTCTTCCTCATCTCTATGCAGTCCCTCTCTGTTTCTACTGTTCTCTTCTTCCTTCATCTCTATGCAGTCCCTCTCTGTTTTCTACTGTTCTCTTCTTCCTCATCTCTATGCAGTCCCTCTCTGTTTTCTACTTTTCTCTTCTTCCTCATCTCTATGCAGTCCCTCTCTGTTTTCTCTACTGTTCTCTTCTTCCTCATCTCTATGCAGTCCCTCTCTGTTTTCTACTGTTCTCTTCTTCCTCATCTCTATGCAGTCCCTCTCTGTTTTCTACTGTTCTCTTCTTCCTCATCTCTATGCAGTCCCTCTCTGTTTTCTACTGTTCTCTCCTTCTTTTTCCTCCATCTCTATGCAGTCCCTCTCTGTTTCTACTGTTCTCTTCTTCCTCATCTCTATGCAGTCCCTCTCTGTTTTCTACTGTTCTCTTCTTCCTCATCTCTATGCAGTCCCTCTCTGTTTTCTACTGTTCTCTTCTTCCTCATCTCTATGCAGTCCCTCTCTGTTTTCTACTGTTCTCTTCTTCCTCATCTCTATGCAGTCCCTCTCTGTTTTCTACTGTTCTCTTCTTCCTCATCTCTATGCAGTCCCTCTCTGTTTTCTACTGTTTCTCTTCTTCCTCATCTCTATGCAGTCCCCTCTCTGTTTTCTACTGTTCTCTTCTTCCTCATCTCTATGCAGTCCCTCTCGGTTTTCTAACTGTTCTCTTCTTCCTCATCTCTATGCAGTCCCTCTCTGTTTTCTACTGTTCTCTTCTTCCTCATCTCTATGCAGTCCCTCTCTGTTTTCTACTGTTCTCTTCTTCCTCATCTCTATACAGTCCCTCTCTGTTTTCTACTGTTCTCTTCTTCCTCATCTCTATGCAGTCCCTCTCTGTTTTTCTACTGTTCTCTTCTTCCTCATCTCTATGCAGTCCCCTCTCTGTTTTCTACTGTTTCTCTTCTTCCTCATCTCTATGCAGTCCCTCTCGGTTTTCTAACTGTTCTCTGTCTTCTCCTCATCTCTATGCAGTCCCTCTCTGTTTTCTACTGTTCTCTTCTTTCCTCATCTCTATACAGTCCCTCTCGGTTTTTCTACTGTTCTCTTCTTCCTCATCTCTATGCAGTCCCTCTCTGTTTTCTAACTGTTTCTCTTCTTCCTCATCTCTATGCAGTCCCTCTCTGTTTTCTAACTGTTCTCTTCTCCCTCATCTCTATGCAGTCCCTCTCTGCAATCTACTGTTCTCTTCTTCCCTCATCCTATGCAGTCCCTCTCTGTTTTCTACTGTTCTCCTTCTTCCTCATCTCGATGCAGTCCCTCTCGGTTTTTCTACTGTTCTCTCTTTCTTCCTCATCTCTATGCAGTCCCCTCTCTGTTTCTACTGTTCTCTTCTTCCTCATCTCTATACAGTCCCCTCTCGGTTTTCTACTGTTCTCTTCTTCCCTCATCTCTATCAGTCCCTCGCTCTGTTTTCTACTGTTCTCAACTTCTTCCTCATCTCTATGCAGTTCCCTCTCTGTTTTTCTACTGTTCTCTTCTTCCTCATCTCTATGCAGTCCCTCTCATGTTTTCTACTGTTCTCCTTTCTTTCCTCATCTCTATGCATCCCTCTCTTTTTTCTACTGTTCTCTCTCTTCCTCATCTCTAGCAGTCCCTCTCTGTTTTCCTACTGTTCTCTTCTTCCTCATCTCTATGCAGTCCCTCTCTGTTTTCTACTGTTCTCTTCTTCTCCCATCTCTCTAGCAGTCCCTCTCTGTTTTCTACCTGTTCTCTTCTTCCTCATCTCTATGCGTCCCTCTCTGTTTTCTACTGTTCTCTTCTTCCTCATCTACTATGCAGTCCCTCTCTGTTTTTCTACTGTTCCTCTTCTTTCTCCTCTCTATGCAGTCCCTCTCTGTTTTCCTACTGTTCTCTTCTTCCTCATCTCTATGCAGTCCCCTCTCCTGTTTTATCTACTGTTCTCTTCTTCGCCATCTCTATGCAGGTCCCTCCTGTTTTTCTCTGTTTCTCTTCTTTCCTCATCTCTATGCAGTCCCATCTCGTTTTTCTACTGTTCTCTTCTTCCTCATCTCTATGCAGTCCCCTCCGTTTTCTAACTGTTCTCCTTCTTCCTCATCTCTATGCAATTCCCTCTCTGTTTTTCTACGTTCTCTTCTTCCTCATCTCTGGCAGCCCCTCTGTTTTCTACTGTTCTCGTTTCTTCCTCATCTTCTATACAGTCCCTCTCTGTTTTCTAAACTGTCCTTCTTCTCATCTCTATGCAGTCCCTCTCTGTTTTCTACTGTTCTCCTCTTTTCTTTTCCTCCTCTCTATACAGTCCCTCTCTGTTTTGCTACTGTTCTCTCTTCCTCATCTCTATGCTCCCTCTCTGTTTTACTGTTATCTCTTTTCCTCATCTCTATTGCAGTCCCTCTCTGTTTTCTAACTGTTCTCTTCTTCCTCATCTCTATGCAGTCCCATCTCTGTTTTTCTACTGTTCTCTTCTTCCTCATCTCTATACAGTCCCTCTCTGTTTTTCTAACTGTTCTCTTCTTCCTCATCTCTATGCAGTCCCTCTCTGCAATCTACTGTTCTCCTTCTTCCTCATCTCTATGCAGTCCCTCTCTGTTTTCTAACTGTTCTACTTCTTCATCATCTCTATGCAGTCCCTCTCTGTTTTCTACTGTTCTCTTCTTTCCTCATCTCTATGCAGTCCCTCTCTGTTTCTACTGTTCTCTTCTTCCTCATCTCTATGCAGTCCCTCTCTGTTTTCCTAACTGTTCTCTTCTTCCTCATCTCTATGCAGTCCCTCTATCCAATCTAATGTTCTCATTCTTCCTCATCTCTATGCAGTCCCTCTCTGTTTTCTACTGTTCTCTTCTTCCTCATCTCTATGCAGTCCCTCTCTGTTTTCTACTGTTCTCTTCTTCCTCATCTCTATGCAGTCCCTCTCTGTTTTCTACTGTTCTCTTCTTCCTCATCTCTATGCAGTCCCTCTTGTTTTCTACTGTTCTCCTTCTTCCTCATCTCTATGCAGTCCCTCTCTGTTTTCTACTGTTCTCTTCTTCCTCATCTCTATGCAGTCCCTCTCTGTTTTCTACTGTTTCTCTTCTTCCTCATCTCATGCAGTCCCTCTCTGTTTTCTACTGTTCTCTTCTTCCTCATCTCTATGCAGTCCCTCTCTGTTTTCTACTGTTCTCTTCTTCCTCATCTCTATGCAGTCCCTCTCTCTCTCTCGCACCCTTTCACTCGCACCCTCTCACTCACACGCACACATAAAAACCACCACACATAGCCGTGTCCCCCCTGGGTTTGTCCTGCTCTGTCTATTTCTGTGTGGCTGTTGTGTAACACCTGGCCAATTACATTATAAAGACTTGTTTATTGATACACACAACCACAGACACGCACACGCACTGTACGTATGGCTATTTATCTATATATATATGTAGCTCTAAGGACCATATACCTAAGCCTGTGGGGAAATATTCTGTATAAACATGTGTGTGTGTGTGTGTTTCCTTGCACTGTTACTAACCTCAAAGTCTGCGTGTGTGTTTTTTAGATGCTCCTGTGTCTAAGTCTGGTCCTGGGTACTCCGGAGCTCCACGCATCCAGAGGCAGGAGCAGGTCATCCACCACTCCCCCAAGAAGAGCTCCCAGGTCAGGCTTCACTCTGCGCCACACTCCCCTGTCCTCACCTCGACCAGGGTGGAGGACCATACACACAGTACTTCTTAGGCCACCCATTTAACCATTTGGGATGCATCTCAATAGTCCAAAGTGACTTTCTGTCCTCATCTCCTGACTTCATCTGCACTGACCTGAAGACAGTTTCTCTTGTCCAGGTGTTTCAGATCAATGCAGATCACTGACCTGAAGACAGTTTCTCTTGTCCAGGTCTTTCATATCACTGACCTGAAGACAGTTTCTCTTGTCCAGGTCTTTCATATCACTGACCTGAAGACAGTTTCTCTTGTCCAGGTCTTTCAGATCAATGCAGATCACTGACCTGAAGACAGTTTCTCTTGTCCAGGTCTTTCAGATCACTGCAGATGAAGGAGATCAGACTATTAAGATGACTCCATTATGTTGAATAAACCCTCTGCTGTAGCTGACTCCTGTCTAACCCATCTCTCCATCCCCCCTTAGCCTGAGGGTCCGTACTCGGGTCACTCCAGCAGTAACACCCTCTCCAGCACGGCCTCCAGCGGGGGCCACAGCGACACCGACAAGTGGTTCGACATGGGGGGCCCCGGGGGACCAGGGGAGGCCCCTGACTCTGAACCCAACGGCCTGGGAGGGGGGTACCTCCAGGGGGCCTCAGCCGACAGCGGGATAGACACCTCGTCCTACGGAGGAGGGAGTGGGGGCCACGGTGGGGATGGGGGCCGCGGTGGGGATGGGGGCCACTCACAACCCCACCACGGGAGTTCTAGTTCCCTTTTGGTTGCTGGGGGTAGAGAGGGGAAGGATAGAGCCCCATCGCCATGGCATAGCCCCACTGAGGGGGGCAAGAGGGTCCTGGAGAGGTCCCCCCCGGCTGCAGAGAGCCCGCAACCCCCAGGGGAGAGGGGGGAGAGAGCAGAGGGGACGGCTAGGAGTCCTCCTACACACCTACCGGTTAGAGATTGCAGCTCGTACAGTCTGAGTGATGCAGGATCGCACTCCAGGTATGGATGGGTGGTTTGGACAAGGCATACACACATGCACACAGCAGACATACACGCATGCACAACCTCCATGGAGTCTTTTGACCATGACATTTGCTAGTTCCCTCGCCTCTTTTTCTAGCGAAGCTTAAAGAATATTTATTTCCGTGAAGCAGTAGAGCTGAAATGGATGTACTGTATCATCAGTCACAAAGGGAAACCGTGTCAACAGTATCGTCAGTCACAAAGGGAAACCGTGTCAACAGTATCGTCAGTCACAAAGGGAAACCGTGTCAACAGTATCGTCAGTCACAAAGGGAAACCGTGTCAACAGTATCGTCAGTCACAAAGGGAAACCGTGTCAACAGTGTTGTCAGTCACTAAGGGAAACCGTGTCAACAGAATCGTCAGTCATAAAGGGAAACCGTGTCAAAAGTATCATCAGTCACAAAGGGAAACCGTGTCAACAGTGTTGTCAGTCACTAAGGGAAACCGTCTGAACAGTATTGTCAGTCACTAAGGGAAACCGTGTCAACAGTGTTGTCAGTCACTAAGGGAAACCGTGTCAACAGAATCGTCAGTCATAAAGGGAAACCGTGTCAAAAGTATCGTCAGTCACAAAGGGAAACCGTGTCAACAGTGTTGTCAGTCACTAAGGGAAACCGTGTCAACAGAATCGTCAGTCACAAAGGGAAACCGTGTCAACAGTATCGTCAGTGACAAAGGGAAACCGTGTTAACAGTAGCATAATACAGGGGCCTTGGTTTGATAGATTGATACTGTAATAGAACCACAGAAATAGATAGAGGTTGATGAACGGCAGTAGTCCATTTATGTCATCCTCTGCTCTGACGTCGGTAGAGAAACGACTATGTAACACTCTGTAATCTACTAGTCTACTGCAGATCAGCACTTCTAAAAATTGGTTTTTAGGTCATAGTTATTAGCTCAAAGTCTAGATGATGTCCATGCCAGAGATTACAGTACTGTGGCCCTCCATGGCCACTAGTTGAATCGCCCTGACCTTTTCCCTCTTCCCCCGTCCTCCTCTCTCCTTCCCTCCTCCCCCTGTCCTCCTCTCTCCTTCCCTCCTCCCCCTGTCCTCCTCTCTCCTTCCCTCCTCCCCCTGCCCTCCCCTCTCCTTCCCTCCTCCCCCTGTCCTCCTCTCTCCTTCCCTCCTCTCCCTGTCCTCCTCTCTCCTTCCCTCCTCTCCTGTCCTCCTCTCTCCTTCCCTCCCTCCCTGTCCCTCCCTCCTCCTTCCCCCTGTCCTCCCTCGTCCTTCCCTCTTCCCTGTCCTCCTCATCTCCTTCCTCCTCTCTCCTTCCCTCCTCTCCCTGTCCTCACCCTCCTCCCTCCTCTCCGTCCCCCTCTCCTTCCCTCCTCTCCCTGTCCTCCTCTCTCCGTTCCCTCCTCCCCCTGTCACTCTCTCTCTTCCTTCCCTCTCTCTTCCCTGTCCTCCTTTCTCCTTCCCTCCTCTCTCCTTCCCTCCTCTCCCTGTCCTCCCCTCTCTTTCCCTCCTCTCCTGTCCTCCTCTCTCCTTCCCTCCTCCGCCCCCCTTCCCTCCCCTCTCCTTCTCTCCTCCCCTGTTCCTCCTCTCTCTCCTTCCCTCCTCCACCCCGTCTCCTCTCCAGTCCAGAGGCCATCCCCCCTAGACTCGTCTTCTCGGTCCACCTCCCCTGCTCCCAGACGTCGTCTCCCCCGGCCCAGCTCTAAAACCTCTCACCCCCGCCAGGAGCCACTCCAATACCTCATCGCTGGAGAAGCCAGGATCCACTATCAACTCTGTCGACTTCGGGAGATAACCGCAAGTAAGACCAGGAGGGAGAGGCCTTGTACCTTAGCCTTAGTATTAGAATAGTTCCTCTTTCAAGACTTGATCGCCACCTTGTGGCTAAAATGAATATTACATACACTGAATATAGACAACTACTTTTAAAGATTACTTACATTATACAGTTAATTTGCATGATATTGGGCTTTATGTATGATCCAGATTTAGTCTGATTAAATTGATTTTACTTGAATATCACAGCTAATATGTAGTACATGGTTATCGGACAGTCACATTGCTATATCTTTTGCATGGCTGTATTATCTGACCCCTGCTCCCTGCTTGTTATTGTGTGTCCCCAGGAAGTCTCCAGGGGAGGGAGGAAGTGGAGGAGAGGGGAGTGGCGGAGGAGGGGGGGGTCAGGGTGGGGGTCATAGCAGAGCCCATCACGGCCCCCAGCCACACCTCACCCACGCTAAGACCACCGTGGAGGACGATATGAAGACACTGAGTCCAGACAGCCCTCCCAAACACAGACGACACAAGGTCAAGGACAAGGTACAGGATATTAGCTTGTAACATTGTGGGTGAACTTTCCCTTTAAAGGAGCAATCTTTAAATGGGTTATCTTTCCTTTCCACCCACATACTGCAACCATACTTGGCCAAAGCCAAGCAAACTATTAAAGACAGCAGAGTTAGAACTTTTGATCCCAAATTTAAAGTTACAGAAGTGCCTGTTAGCATCCTGCATGTGAAAACTACATCCGCAGCTGGGGGGTGGTAGTTATGACTGAGAAGAGGTGACAGCCACGGGAAAGCGCGCGCAAAGCGCACTCAACAGAGCGCAATCAGCAAGGCGAGCGACGAGCAACTCCCTCCCTAGCTCGCCGGTGTTTCTCGAGCATCACTCGCTCGCTCTAGCTCTCATCGCTCTCGCTTCTCTCGCTCTCTATCTCTACTATCCTCTATACCCCTCTCTCTCATTGATCTTTGTGTGTCTGTCGTTGTCTGTAATCTCGCTCTCTATCTATCTATCTATCTCTAGAGATTCATGAAAGAAGCACCCTCTGATGTCACTCCGCCATCGCACGCTCGTGCGCGCACACGCGCGTCTGCGAGTCGAGGAGAGAGAGAGAGAAGAGAGGGAGAGCGAGAGCGCGCGCGCAGAGAGAGAGAGAGAGGGAGCGCGAGAAGGGAGAGCGGGGAGGGAGAGAGAGACGTAGAAGAGAGAGAAGAGAGCGAGGAGAGAGAGAGACGAGCGCGAGAGAGGCGGGAGAGCGAGCCCTCCAGTCCGCATACTAAGGCAAAGCCCCCCTACACCCGTCGGTCTTCCACCGGACCTGTATGATGAGAGTATATTAAAGGGGAAAGCGTTTTTTTTGCCCATCCCTGAGGGCTGGGGGACCAGAGAACGACCCCGCCCTGGCTAGAGTGACGTTGTTGTTTAGCTGCTCCACATTGCCACGCTCTCCCACCACCGCGGGGTTTGTGCCCCCAGAAGACCTCATACAACTGGGGATCAAACTACCGGTTTGAGAGGGGGGGGACGTAATTGACCACAGGGTCTGGGGACATGTGGCGTGTAAACAGCTTTGAGACAGTTGGAGGATTGACACATTGGTGACTTAATACTTGGATTGTGGCGGGAGGCTGGGTTTGATAAAAGGTTGTGTATATGCTGCCCTCTTATGGTAGAGAAAGTGTAGTGACCTACCTTTTGGTAAAAAAAGATTCATTACGTTCATTTCCGACTAGTCAAGAATAATAGTCTTGCTGTAGTTATTTTTCAATGAGAGAGGGATCAAATCGGTTCTTCCCTGTCCTCTCTCTACAGGAGGACCTGGCTGCGTCTGACAAGTCATGGCTGAGATGGTCTAGATGGTTTGAGCGACAGCGCCACCCCCCTCCCAGGAGCTGATGCCCATCCCACCCTCTGAGAGCAGGGAAAGCCCCTGGACTGGACCCACATGGTGGAGTAGCCAACGCTTTCGAAAGTAGACGAGAAGGAGGTCGGGGGTGGGGCGGCCCGGGGCGGTGGTAGGGTCGCCTCCAGGGCCTGGCCGCGCGTGCGCCGCCCGGCTGTGTGGGGTGCGGGGCTGGGGTGTGTGGGTGGGGGTGTGTGCGGAGGTCACCTGGTGCATGTGGCCTAATCCCGAAAATGCACAGGAGAGGGCACAACGGAATTAGGCTATGTATACTCTGACACTACAGGTCATGACTTGTGTCTCTCCTGCCCACAGTTACTCGTGTGCGAGGGGCGTATCATTGTTACCTCTATACTTTCGCACTTTGCGAATGGGAACGCCCACGAGCGGGGGGCGAAACCGGAGCGCACCGCGTAGAACGGGGGCACCGGACGAAGCCGGGGGGAGGGCGCGCGGGTCGGAGGGACGCAACCGCCCGCAACGCGTAGTGCAAGGCGCGGACCCACAGAGGGAGAGCGAGACAGAGAGAGCAGAGCAAAAAAGCAGACGATAGCAACGGGGCGAAAAAACGGAGAGAGCGAGAAGCGCGAGACAAAGCGCGAGAGAGACAGGAGAGAAAAAAGAGGGGGAGGAGGGTACAGCGCAGAGGGCGAGCAGAGCAGGAGGAGAAAACAAGGAAAAGTAAGCGAGAAGGGAAGGGGCGCGCCAACAAGGCAGGCCAGCGAGCGGCGCGAAACCAGCGACGCAGCCAGCGGAGAGAGAGAGACGGCGACCCCAAAGGCGAGAAGCGCGAGCAAGGCGACCAAAGAGATCGACTAGTTCCGAGGGAGCAGGAACCAAAAAACAAGGGAAGAGACGAAGATGAGAACGCGAAGCAGAGCGCGCAACACCAAAGAGAGACGAGGAGAAGGGCAGAAAACAGAGAGGTAGAGAGCAAGGAGAGAAAAGAGCGAGCGAGAAGGAGAGCCCCAAGAGGGCGCGAGCGAGAAGCGGAGAGAGAGCAAGGAGAGCCCAAAGAGAGAGAGCGAGCGCGAGCCAAAGGAGAGAGCGCGCGACGGGAGAAAAAGCGAGCGAGGAGGCCGGGCGAGACAACCCACGAAGAGCGCGAGAGCGACCGGGAGCGACACCAAAGAAGAGCTAGAGATCCGGCGCGCCCCAAGAGCGCGAGTAAAGAGCAGGAGAGAATCAAGAGCGAGAGGAGAGAAGGAGAGAAAAAAGGAGCCGCGAGCAGGAGCATGGCGAGCCCACGGGGGAGGAGCAGAGAGAAGGTGCGAGCCGAAAAAGAGAGAGAGAGGAGAAGAGAGACACAGGAGAGACAAACGGAGAGAGAGAGGCGAAGGAGGAAAAGGAGAAAGGAGAGGAAATAAGGGACGGACAGAATGAGAGAGAGACAAACGTCGCGCTAGATACCTGGCTAGACCACGGCGAGCGAGCGCGTAGCAGGTCGCGCACAAGCACTCGCTCGACACCAGAGCGAAGATGCGAAGGACGCCATAAATCGCGCGCCCTCCATCCATCCCTCCCTCCTCCCTCCCTCCCTCCCTCCCCCCCTCCAGTCCAGAGAGGGTTTGTGTTTTAGTGACTCTAACCACAGAGGTAGTGGAGCCCCCAGCCCTCAGCAGACACATCCCAGCCTGGAACTACAGCCTGCCCCTCTATCCAGACCTTCATCCAGGTAACACGGCTCAGATATGTTATGAGGTGCACTAAATATACAATTCATGTTTTGTAGTAGCATACAGGATCTGCCTGTGCAAAATAGGTTTCTAACCTCAAGTGTCTTTTCCTGGTTAAAGTGATTCTCCAGAGTTTTGTATCATTTCAGCCAGTACTTTTGAAAGTGGTGCTCGCTACCCAAAACAGGTCCCTGAAAACTGTGAACGTCATCCATTTCCTATGATATGTTACGTCCTGTAATAGTTATTTTTTCTGCAATTTGTACAATAATTTGTACAATTTGTTCAATACGTTAGAATGCTGTATATTGACTACAGCTCAGTGTTCAGCACCATAGTGCCCACATAGCTCATCACTAAGCTAAGGACCCTGGGACTAAACACCTCCCTCTGCAACTGGATCCTGGACTTCCTGCCGGGCCGCCCCCAGGTGGTGAGGGTAGGCAACAACACATCTGCCACGTTGATCCTCAACACGGGGGCCCCTAAAGGGGTGCGTGCTTAGTCCCCTCCTGTACTCCCTGTTCACCCATGACTGCGTGGCCGTGCACGACTCCAACACCATCATTAAGTTTGTCGACGACACAACGGTGGTAGGCCTGATCACCGGCAACGATGAGACAGCCTATAGGGAGGAGGTCAGAGAGCTGGCAGTGTGGTGCCATGACAACAACCTCTCCCTCAACGTGATCAATACGAAGGAGATGATCGTGGGACTACAGGAAAAGGAGGGCCGAGCACGCCCCCATTCTCATTGACAGGGCTAAAGTGTCCACATCACCAACAAACTATCATGGTCCAAACACACCAAGACAGTCGTGAAAAGGTAAAGGGGGATACCTAGTGAGTTGTACAACTGAATGCATTCAACTGAAATGTGTCTTCCACATTTAACCCAACCCCTCCGAAGAGGACACGACAACGCCTATTCCCCCTCAGGAGACACAGAAAATATTTGGCATGGGTCTTCAGATTCTCATAAAGTTATACAGCTGCACCATCGAGAGCATCCTGACTGGTTGCATCACCACCTGGTATGGCAACTGCTCAGCCTCCGACCGCAAGGCGCTACAGAGGGTAGTGCGTACGACCCAGTACATCACTGGGGCCAAGCTTCCTCCTATCCAGGACCTCTATACCAGGCGGTGTCAGAGGAAGGCCCTAAAAATTGTCAGACTCCAGCCACCCTAGTCAAAGACTGTTCTCTCTGCTACCGCACGATAAGCGGTACCGGAGTGCCAAGTCTAGGTCCAAAAGGCTTCTTAACAGCTTCTACCCCCAAGCCATAAGACTGCTGAACAGCTAATCAAATGGCCACCCGGACTATTTACATTGAACCCCCCCCCCCCCCCACTACTCTCTGTTTATTATCTATGCATACTCACTTTACCTCTACCTACATGTACATATTACCTCAAATACCTCCACTAACCTGTACTCCCGCACATTGACTCTGTACCGGTACCCCCTGTATATAACCTCCCTACTGTTATTACACATTGACTCTGTACCGGTACCCCCTGTATATAACCTCCCTACTGTTATTACACATTGACTCTGTACCGGTACCCCCTGTATATATCCTCCCTACTGTTATTTCCCATTGACTCTGTACCGGTACCCCTTGTATATAGCCTCTCTACTGTTATTACACATTGACTCTGTACCGGTACCCCCTGTATATAACCTCCCTACTGTTATTACACATTGACTCTGTACCGGTACCCCCTGTATATATCCTCCCTACTGTTATTACACATTGACTCTGTAGCGGTACCCCTTGTATATAGCCTCTCTACTGTTATTACACATTGACTCTGTACCGGTACCCCCTGTATATAGCCTCTCTACTGTTATTACACATTGACTCTGTACCGGTACCCCCCTGTATATAGCCTCTCTACTGTTATTACACATTGACTCTGTACCGGTACCCCCTGTATATAGCCTCCCTACTGTTATTTCCCATTGACTCTGTACCGGTACCCCCTGTATATAGCCTCTCTACTGTTATTACACATTGACTCTGTACCGGTACCCCCTGTATATAGCCTCCCTACTGTTATTACACATTGACTCTGTACCGGTACCCCCTGTATATAGCCTCCCTACTGTTATTACACATTGACTCTGTACCGGTACCCCCTGTATATAGCCTCCCTACTGTTATTACACATTGACTCTGTACCGGTACCCCCTGTATATAGCCTCCCTACTGTTATTACACATTGACTCTGTACCGGTTACCCCCTGTATATAGCCCTCCCTACTGTTATTACACATTGACTCTGTACCGGTACCCCCTGTATATAGCCTCCCTACTGTTATTACACATTGACTCTGTACCGGTACCCCCTGTATATAGCCTCCCTACTGTTATTACACATTGACTCTGTACCGGTACCCCCTGTATATAGCCACCCTACTGTTATTACACATTTACTCAGTACCGGTACCCCCTGTATATAGCCTCTCTACTGTTAATTAATTGTTTTTTTTGTTATTCTATTAATTGTTTTACTTTAGTTTATTTAGTAAATATTTTCTTAACTCTTATTTTTCTTAAAATTGCATTGTTGGTTAAGGGCTTGTAAGTAAGCATATCACGGTAAGGTTGTATTCGGCCCATGTAACAAATATAATTTGATTTTATTTATTACGAATATGTAAGTGCTTTAGATCAATCTCTTTAAATAAAGGTCAAATAAAGATGACCCATTAGGTTAGTGTGGTTAAATGTATGTTTGGCTCTCTGTCTCCACAGTGAGGGTCCTGCAGGTCTGGAGAGGAATGTGACCAAGCTGGAAACCGTGGTCAAGATGCTACAGGATGACCTGAAGAAGGTACCACACGCACACATTAGCACATGCCTGTACACACACACACACACACGGACCCACGCATGCACGTATGCACACACACAACACCCATTCAGCATCGTTCACACCCCCATAAGCCTTAGCCCCACCCATCTCTTTAAGGATTCACATGTAAAGGCCATGTACTAATCAACCAAAGATTTCAAGACTAAAGGCTGGTTTATACTACGGGTGTGTTCGTAAATTCAATCTGGAGTGCCAGAGTGCACTCTGGGCGTTCGTAAACTCAGAGCGTTGTCAGATTGTCCGTTCGTAAATTCAGAGTGTTTCGCTCTCGGAGCGTTCAGAGCGCACACTGGACGCTCTGGCCGAAAAGTAGGGTTGATCCGAGCGTTCTGACCTAACAACCGCAGTCAAACGTTGGCTAGCTTGCTAGCTACTTCCAGACACAAATGAGAGAACACCTCACTCTGACCATTTTACTCGCCCTAGCAGAGCTGGTTAGCCTGCATTAGTGACTGCAACTGTGCTGCTGGCAACAATTTAATTACGCTTTTTTGCCAACTTTTACTGAAATAGCTACTTGCATAGTGGAGTCTTTTGTGTAGACATGTAGCTAGCTAGCTAAACAATGAACAATAATCCCAACTCATAACGTTACTACCCTGCATGAATCTGCAGGTAGCTAACCAACCAGGTTCAATGTTAGCTAGCTAACATTAGGCTATAACTACCAATGCAAATGGCTCTGAGATACGAATAATATTACTACACAGATCATACACGTAACGTTAGCTAGCTAGCCAGCCAGCTAACGTTAGCTAGCTAGCTAACAGTATACTTTAACTTGAAATGAAAACGACTTTCTGACAAAATTAGAAATGTGTAATATCTGAAAATTTAGCTAGCTAGACTCTCTTACCCGTATGCATGGATGGACGCTTCTCCCTCTCTGTCACAGATGACATGGTTGCCCTTAGTTTTGAAGATGTAATCCAGGACAGGTGTTTTATACAACAGCCTTCTGTGTTCTCTTTTCGACTCTGTCTGCATATTTGCAATCAATCGGCAGAATTCTCTCCATCTCCTTAGCTATCATACTCTAATTCCACTGATTTCAAAACTCGGTCTTCCAGAAAGTGGAGAGCAACACTTATGCAGTTCTACTACGTGATATCTTTCAAAAAAGCCACGTTAGAAAAGATTACCTACACATACTGACCAGCTCATATTATAGACAGAAGCGTGCTAAATGGCAGACCAATCCGAACTCATCTTTCGGCATGTCCAGCCCACTCATTATCTCAGCCAATCATGGCGAGCGGGAAGGTTGCTGTCTTTTTTCGGTGGCTAAACCAACTAGACTCGTAAATTAACAATTTTATTCGTATTTACAGAAGGCATACAAGTTTGTTATTAAGGCACATGAAAGTTCACGTTCCAGAAGGCATTTCTGCCAAAAAAAGATTTTGATTAAAAAAAAAAGTTTACATTCAAATGGCTCTCCTGTGAAGTAGTGACACGTGACATACGCCTAGTTTCCTGAAATGAGTCACATTTTTCATTCCTGTTGTAAAGAAAGGACATGGCAGTATTTGCATACAATGGCTACCGTCTGTTATATAGAGTTATCATCCCTATCAGTGTTATAGCTACCGTCTGTTATATAGAGTTATCATCCCTATCAGTGTTATAGCTACCGTCTGTTATATAGTTATCATCCCTATCAGTGTTATAGCTACCGTCTGTTATACTAGTTTATACTTTTTTATCCCTATCAGTGTTATAGCTACCGTCTGTTATATAGAGTTATCATCCCTATCAGTGTTATAGCTACCGTCTGTTATATAGAGTTATCATCCCTAGTCAGTGTTATAGCTACCGTCTGTTATATAGAGTTATCATCCCTAGCAGTGTTATAGCTACCGTCTGTTATATAGAGTTATCATCCCTATCAGTGTTATAGCTACCGTCTGTTATATAGAGTTATCATCCCTATCAGTGTTATAGCTACCGTCTGTTATATAGAGTTATCATCCCTATCAGTGTTATAGCTACCGTCTGTTATATAGAGTTATCATCCCTAGCAGTGTTATAGCTACCGTCTGTTATATAGAGTTATCATCCCTAGCAGTGTTATAGCTACCGTCTGTTATATAGAGTTATCATCCCTATCAGTGTTATAGCTACCGTCTGTATATAGAGTATCATCCCTTATCAGTGTTATGCACGTCTGTTATATAGAGTTATCATCCCTACAGTGTTATAGCTACGTCGTTATATAGAGTTATCATCCCTACAGTGTTATAGCTACGTCTGTTATATAGAGTTATCATCCTACAGGTTATGCTACCGTCTGTTATATAGAGTTATCATCCCTATCAGTGTATGCTACCGTCGTTATATAGAGTTATCATCCTATCAGTTTATAGCTACCGTCTGTTATATAGAGTTATCATCCCTATCAGTGTTATAGCTACCGTCTGTTATATAGAGTTCTCTATCAGATACATGTTGTTTTATAGAGTTTGCCATCCTTCATATTCCTTCGTCTACCTGTTAGTCCCATCATCTCATCTTCCCTAAGCTCCTCGTATACATGCTTCTTTCCTCGGACCACCGGCTTCCCAACTTCCTCGACCCGTAACCTATCCACACGCCTCTGGAGCCGACCCGTGGCGCGCAACGAGGACCACGAACACCGGCCAGAACCGAGACGACCCGAAGAGCAGGGCGCGAGAAGCGCAAAGCGGCCCAAAGCGCCGGACGAGACCGACCGCAAGACCCGAAGACAGCAGCGAACCGGCACAGAAAGCACCCCTCGTAAGACACAGAACAGAAGCCGGAAAACGAAAACAATGCCAACAATCACCCCATACACCAGAAATACTACACTCCCTCACCCATCCCTCACCTCCCTCACTCCCTCCCTCCCTCCCTCCCTCCCTCCCTCCCCTCCCTCCTCCCTCCATCCCTCCCTGTAGGAGCGTGAGGAGAAGCAGCGTCTCCATCTGCAGATCAAGAGGCTGTGGGAGGATAACCAGCGGCTGCAGGAGGAGTCCCAGAGCTCTGCTGCCAAACTCAAAAAGTTCACGGAGTGGGTCTTCAACACCATCGACATGAACTGAGACGGACAGAAGAGGAGAGGGTGGGGTGAAAGAGAAGGAGGATTCTCCCACATTAACCAGAAGAGGAGGGGGGGGGGGGGGGGGGAGCGAGAGAGAGAGAGGAGACAGAGGAACAAGAGAGTGATTGTCCAAGGACCGGTGCCAACCCCAAAAACATTTCCCTTCTCCCTAGCACAAACTGAAGTACTTATTCCACCCTCCATGCCTCCTCCTTGTCCCCTGAAGTTTCTCTTTCACTCTCTGAAATGCCAACTAAGGTTTCCCCTCTCAGCTACCCACTGAAACTCAGGATCAGCTAGAAGGACAGACTTCTTTTGTTAAATAATGAAGGACTTCTTTCATACTGTGGGATTTGAAGGCGAGCTGTGTGTGTAATTGTGATGGGCTCTCAGTACTGCCAAGAAATACTGGAGCTCAGAAGACTTGAGCTCTGTCCTCCTCCTCTCCTCCCTCACTGTCTGAGCTAACTTCACTCTGGGGGTGGTAGGAAGACTGACAGACACCGAGAGGGAGAGGAAAAACCCAATAGCCAGCCTCTCAGTGGCTGTACAGTACATCTCTTCAGCTAAGGCCTCAGAGCACCTAGAGCACACCGTAACTGTGGAAACCGTGGAATCTGATCTCTCCTCTCCCTTCTTTCGTCCGTCTCCACTCTTCCTCCTCCTCTGCAACTTTGACTCGTCTGACGCTACCTCTGTCTACGCTACCCCAACAAACAGGTAGACAGATGGACGTAGGGAAGAGACAGACGGGCAGACAGACAGACAGGTGGAGGGAAGAGACAGACAGGCAGACAGACAGGCAGACAGGCAGACAGGCAGACAGGCAGGCAGACAGGCAGACAGGCAGACAGGCAGACAGGCAGACAGGCAGACAGGCAGACAAACAGGCAGAGGGAAGAGACAGCCAGCCCTGTGTCACCAGCTGTTTTCTGTCCAATCACATTCCTCAATCTACAGGGAACACACTTACAGATCTTTATGTATTTCTGTAGGAACAAACTAGAGGGAATGGAGACCCATCCGTATCTTTCCTGTGCTGTACATATCCACTAGCTATCTGTGGATTACTGTATATTCTGCATTCTAACCAACAACGCATTGTACCTGTACTGTTTTGGACCGTGGCGTTGAGAGGTACATGGAGTTACATCAAGCCTAATGTACTGTAATTAGGCTAGGCTACATCTGAAGGAGAACTTAACAAGAGTCCGTGTTTTTTGGTTTTGGTTGACAGCCATTCCCCCATACTTCTCCCATATTGCCCCTCACTAGTCTGGTTGGGCAGCAGTGTGTCACAACCGAGCCTATATAGCTGACATACACAGGCTACCACACACACACACTCTCACCCCACAACCACACACACACTCTCACCCCACAACCACACACACACACACACACACACACACACACACACACACACACACACACACACCCACACACACCTCTACCCCACACAACCCACCACACACACTCTCACCCCACAACCACACACACACACACACACACACACTCTCACCCCCACAACCACACACACACTCTCACCCCACAACCACACACACACACACACACACACTCTCACCCCACAACCACACACACACTCTCACCCCACACACACACACACACTCTTACCCCACAACCACACACACACTGAAACGTCTGGCATTCTCAATCCTACAATTATTTGCAGGTGCTTGTGACACTACGACCAAACCTGACAACAAAACTTCATGCCACGACCGATTCAAAACGAAAGCCATCATTATCAAGGACTCCATGATCACATGACATGGCTGAAATCAGGGGCATATTGGTAATAGGACTGTGTGTGTCTTAAAAGCAATAGCAAAGAGTACAACCAAACGTCTTATTCCTCTCAGTGGAAAGATCTGAAGTCAAACATGGGAACCATAAGGTTTGAAACAGCCATCTTAAAGGACATTTCCACCCAAAATGCAGCGTTGTATAATGCAAAATGCATCATACCGGCTGTGTTTCTGTATTTTGAAAATTATACATCTTGATTGCTGACATGCAAAACATTTTGGGACTATATCAACAATGGACTAATGAAACAAATATCAAAAGAGTATCTGGGTGGACTTTTCCTTTAATATTTATTTTTTTTCTTTATTTTTTCTTCTAAAAGCAATGGGACATCTTCTGCCTTTGGTACTATGTGCTGAAGAGAGAAAGAGAAAGAAAGAAAGAAAGAGAGAAAGAGAAAGAGGATTGCTCTCCTCTTTCACCCCACCATCTCAAGGAATGTTAATTCTGTTGAACTTTTAAATTCCGATCGACGAATCGTTTTAATCGGGGAAAATTTTCTGATGTATTTATGTCTTTGTATTATAAAAAGTAATAAATAAGTTGTTTTTAATTGCGTACAGTACAACTGAAGTCGTCAGTGTTTAGTTTTCTCTTAGAAAATGTAATTATTTCCAGTCTTGCTATTAAAGCCTTATAATATGGTTTCTACTAGCTCTGGTCCATGGCAGTAGTGCATGTTCCTCCACTGCCGTTAGTGGAGAAACGTCTACTTACACCCTGGACCAGAGCTAGCTTTCTATATTATTAATATCTTGTTTTGTGGTGCCAGAGCCTGCTGTTGTTATGTACAGTGCCATCCAGTGCTGAAAAGTGGAAGTGTCACTCAACTTTAAATCAATGTGCAGCCATGATCCATCCACTGTGTACTGAAACGCTGCTCTCTCTATATAGTCAGAAAATACAGTCTCCGTTCAACTAAACCCCTAGATAAAGGAATAAAGGCTAACTATGTGATTCAATCTGAACCGTTCAACATTGTGAAGCTACTCTGACTGCAATAAAGTTGACTGAGAGCGATATGGTACAGTTTAACATGTCAAGGTGTTTAGGTTTGAATGAATGTGTTGGTTTCAATCTGTTCCTGTGTAGTCTGTTTTCTTCCTCCACTGATCGGGTCATAGCCTTGGTCCTGGCTTATCTCATAGCCCAACTCCTATGGTCACAGTTGGCAAGACAGCACAAACAGATCTGGAACCAGGCTAGGGAAGCAGGGAGGTGCCTTTTGAACAACAACCTGTAAAACTAATAAAAGGGATGACTTCTTATGTCAGCTGAACGATTACCTGCTAACACGCACACCAACCTGTCAGGTTTATTTGGAGCTGCTGCTAGACCAGTGTATTATAATGAAGGAACGCTATCTCTCCCCCTCCATACAGACACTGTTATAATGAAGGAACGCTATCTCTCCCCCTCCATACAGACACTGTTATAATGAAGGAACGCTATCTCTCCCCCTCCATACAGACACTGTTATAATGAAGGAACGCTATCTCTCCACCTCCATACATGCACTGTTATAATGAAGGAACGCTATCTCTCCCCCTCCATACAGACACTGTTATAATGAAGGAACGCTATCTCTCCCCCTCCATACAGACACTGTTATAATGAAGGAACGCTATCTCTCCACCTCCATACATGCACTGTTATAATGAAGGAACGCTATCTCTCCCCCTCCATACATACACTGTTATAATGAAGGAACGCTATCTCTCCCCCTCCATACAGACACTGTTATAATGAAGGAACGCTATCTCTCCCCCTCCATACAGACACTGTTATAATGAAGGAACGCTATCTCTCCCCCCTCCATACAGACACTGTTATAATGAAGGAACGCTATCTCTCCCCCTCCATACAGACACTGTTATAATGAAGGAACGCTATCTCTCCCCCTCCATACAGACACTGTTATAATGAAGGAACGCTATCTCTCCCCCTCCATACAGACACTGTTATAATGAAGGAACGCTATCTCTCCCCCTCCATACAGACACTGTTATAATGAAGGAACGCTATCTCTCCCCCTCCATACAGACACTGTTATAATGAAGGAACGCTATCTCTCCCCCTCCATACAGACACTGTTATAATGAAGGAACGCTATCTCTCCCCCTCCATACAGACACTGTTATAATGAAGGAACGCTATCTCTCCCCCTCCATACAGACACTGTTATAATGAAGGAACGCTATCTCTCCCCCTCCATACAGACACTGTTATAATGAAGGAACGCTATCTCTCCCCCTCCATACAGACACTGTTATAATGAAGGAATGCTATCTCTCCCCCTCCATACAGACACTGTTATAATGATGGAACGCTATCTCTCCCCCTCCATACAGACACTGTTACGTAAGATTGGCCAGACAGACACCAGGCCAGACAGACACATTTTTACATTTTAGTCATTTAGCAGACGATCTTATCCAGAGCGACTTACAGTTAGTGCATACATTTTTTTATTTCCATACTGACACCAGGCCAGACAGACACCAGGACAGACAGACAGACACCAGGCCAGACAGACACCAGGACAGGGAGGGAAACGCTTAGTCATCACACAGGTGGGTGTGTGTCTCTCTCTTACTGTGTGTGTATTTGTCCCTTGTGTCAGCGAGTGTGTGATGGGTATTGCCATATATATATACCAGCCAGCCCCGTATTCCCTCTACCTCCTCTAACCTCTGTTGGGGTGATGGGGTCTCTAATCTATACTCCCTCTAACTTCTGTTGGGGTGAGGGGGACTCTAATCTATACCTCTAACCTCTGTTGGGGTGATGGGGACTCTAATCTATACTCCCTCTAACCTCTGTTGGGGTGAGGGGGACTCTAATCTATACCTCTAACTTCTGTTGGGGTGAGGGGGACTCTAATCTATACCTCTAACCTCTGTTGGGGTGATGGGGACTCTAATCTATACTCCCTCTAACCTCTGTTGGGGTGAGGGGGACTCTAATCTATACCTCTAACTTCTGTTGGGGTGAGGGGGACTCTAATCTATACCTCTAACCTCTGTTGGGGTGAGGGGGACTCTAATCTATACCTCTAACCTCTGTTGGGGTGAGGGGGACTCTAATCTATACCTCTAACCTCTGTTGGGGTGAGGGGGACTCTAATCTATACCTCTAACCTCTGTTGGGGTGATGGGGACT